AAAATAATATAAATTATATTACTCTGTAGTTTATTCACGAAAAAAGTATAAGATTACATCAATTTGATTAATCAAAGAAAAAGTTTTTTTCTCGTTATTATTGTCAGTACAGACGCTCACTAAAGACATTGACAAACAGACTCCTCAGAAAATTGTAATTAATCCTATATTTTCGTGAAAATATTCATTAAATGACCTGAGGAGATTAGAGAAGGTTCCAATAATATTTATTAAATGAAAAAACTAAAAATCAAGGGGAATAAAGTACTTTTATAAGTGGAATGCTGCTGATTCGGGTATATTTGAGTAGTACTGTCACGTACTCCGTAGTCGTAATTAGACATATAAATATTTACCCTTCTTGCTGTAATTTATTCTGTAATTGGTATAGTCATTGTTTATTAAAATAGTTATTGATTGTTAGCAAGTGTCATTGGTCGCTACGGATTAGACACGCATACTCATTCTTATACAGCTGTTTGTGTCTTAACTGCTTACATTCGTTGACTGCCTACGATGTCCCTTGGCTGGTTGAAGTCTCGATGAATAGGAATAAACGAATGTTCGAATACGAAGAATAAACGAAGGAATGAAAAGAATTAATATCATAATAAAAATTTTTTTCAGTGCTTAATTTTAGAAGGCCAAAAAAATGCTCTGAAAAAATTTTCGTCAAGTTTGAATTTTAAACTGTTTCGAATATTGTAAACAAAAAGTATTAATGGATTAAATCGGTACTTTAATTATAATCAAATGATCGTGAGCGATTTCGACATATTTCCTCGACACACTAATCACGTTTATAATAAAAACTAATTAGTTTGAATGTTGTCTTTCTCTATGAGACAAGCCATAATACCAGTAGATCATTTTTACTCATTCAATAATTCTTGGGGAACTAAATAGTCTGATCCATCGTTTAATTTAGGCACCAAAACGGATAAAAGGGAGCAGAAATTCAAAGAAGCTATCTCGGGAAATAATTTAAGTGAACAAGAAATTTTTGTTTCTGACGACAAAAAATACATTTATGATAATTTCCTGGAGTCATTTACGCTAAAATCAAACATGATGACATACCGAGACAAAACTCGCAATGAACAAAAAGATTATGCATGTGACAAGTGCGAGAAGAAATTCAAGTCCCGAAGTCTTTTGAGTAGACACCAAATATCAGAACACAAGAGCCATAAAGATTTTGCATGCGCGCAGTGCGAGAAGAAATTTGTGAAAAAATCGAGTTTGATCATGCACCAAAAATTAGGCCACAAAGATGGCGACGATTTAACATGCAACGATTGCGAGAGAAAGTTTAAAAATAAATTAACTTTACTCAAACATAAGAAAATATTCCACGAAGTTTTGAAAGATCACTTATGTGAAAAGTGCGCCAAGAGATTTGGAAATAAACATAGTTTACTGTTGCACATAAAGTCCGTACATGAAGGTCGTACAGATTTTCCATGTGACGAACGTCGTAAAAATATCGAATGCGATAAGTGCGAGAAGAAATTTGGGCAAGTGTCGTATTTGCTTTCCCACCACAAGATTGTACACGAAGGACGTAAAGATTTCTCATGCAATAGTTGTGAAAAGAAATTTGGAAAAGCATCTGATTTGCTAAACCACCAAAGAACAGTACATGAAGGTCGTAAAGATTACGCATGTGACAAATGTGATAAGAAATTTGGGGTTAAAAGCGATTTGAGAAGACATCAAAAAACAATCCATGAAGGTCGCAAAGATTTCGCGTGCGACAAGTGCGAAAAGGTATTTGGTATAAATTCGAATTTGCTCAAACACCAGAAATTAGTCCACGAAGGCCGCAAAGATTACGCATGTGACAAGTGTGGGAAGAAATTCGGACAAAAATCAGATTTGCTTAAACATCAAAGAACAGTCCACGAAGGCCGCAAAGATCATTGTTGCGATAGTTGCGAGAAGAAATTTGGAAAAAAACAGCATCTACTTTCGCACCAAAGGATTGTTCACGAAGGTCGCAAAGATTTCGCATGCGATAAGTGTGACAAAAAATTCGAACTTAAACATCATTTGCTTTACCACCAAAAAACAATCCACGAAGATCGAAAAGATTATGCATGCGATAACTGCAAGAAAAAATTTGGACGTAAGCAGCATTTACTTGTACACCAAAACACAGTCCATGAGGGTCGCAAAGATTACACATGTGACCAATGCGAAAAGAAATTTGGACAAAAAAGTAATTTGTTCAAGCATCAAAGGACATTCCACGAAGGTTCGAAAGATTACAGATGCGACAAGTGAGAAAAAAAATTTGGACGAAAATCACATTTGCTCTTGCACTAAAGGATAGTATACGAAGGTCGTAAAGATTTCACGTGTGACTAATACAAAAAAAAATGTCGACAAAAGCAGCAGTTGCTCATACACCGAAGAAAAATACACAAAGGTGCCAACGATTAAATAAAAAACAATGTCGAAATAAATTATGATTAATGACTAAAAATGAAATTATGACAATTGTAAATATGATTAGATAGTTTTACATATGCTGTAGCCGATGTTGTATACGCTATGACTTCGTAATGTGTATGAGAAAACACGAGACACGAAACTATAAGAGATATAAACAAGCAGATGTGTCGTTTGACATAGAGCAAATCATAGGTGAAAAAGCACAAGCGCGCGAATTATCTTTAGGCGCTACCCGAAAAATGTTTCAGAGACTACTTTCACTTATTCGTAATTTCGTCATGCTCGTTCAAAAGTGGTATACCCGAAGTATACCCACGAAATTCTAATTCGTCTAAGCATAAATTCAAATTTCTATTGTGAAAACTCTGCTTACTATTTTTTTGTTATTTCTAAAACCATGATAAAGTGACAACGACAGACGGTTACTTTCACTTTTTTGATATCAGTTGATTTTACAGGAAGCTCAGAATCGTCGCCAAGTTGGAATTTAAAATTGTTTCGAATCTTGTAAGAACCATGTATTAACAGATAAATCGGTACCTTAATTGTAAACAATTTGATCGTAAACAACTTTGACATTTTCCTCAACTTACTGATTGTGTTATATAGCTAAACCAAACTAGTTTCTGTGCTATTAAATAAACTAAACCATCGTTTAATTTAGACACTAAATTGAATAAAAGTGAGAAGAAATCCGGGGCAGTAAATTCTCAAAATAATTGAAGTCAACTCGGCATTACTGTTTCTAGCAACAAAAACTACGCTTGTGATATTTGTTAGGAGATATTTAATCAAGATTCAAGTAAGATGGCGCACCGAGATGTAAATCATTATCATCAAAGAGATTATGCTTGCGAAAAGTGCGAAAAGAAGTTTGAGTTCCGAAGTCATTTGAGTAGACACCAAATATCAGAACACAAAGGCCGCGAAGATTTCACGTGCAACAAGTGTGAGAGAAAATTTGAAAATAAAACAACATTACTAAAGCACAAAAAAATATTCCACGAGGTTTTCAGAAACTATTTATGTGAAATTTGCGCGAGAAAATTTGATACTAAACATAGATTACTCTTACACATAAAAACAGTACACGACGATCGCAAAGATTTCACGTGCGACAAGTGCGGGAAGAAATTTGGGCATTATAGAAATTTAAAAAGGCATGAAAAAACAGTTCACGAAAGTCGCAAAGACTACGCATGTGCCAAATGTAAGAAAAATTTTAAGAATAGCAGCACTTTGAAAAATCATCAAAATACAGTCCACGAAGGTCAAAGAGATTTCGCATGTGGCAATTGTGGGAAGAAATTTGGACAAAAATCGGATTTGTTACAGCACCAAAAACAGTTCATGAAGGTCGCAAAGATTTCGTATGCAATAGGTGTGGGAAGAAATTTGGAGTAAAAACCGTTTTGTTACGGCATCAAAAGACAGTACACGAAGGTCGCAAAGATTTCGCATGTGACAAGTGCGACAAGAAATTCGGACAAAAACCAGATTTGTTCAAGCACCAAAAAATAGTCCACGAAGGTCGGAAAGATTTCGCGTGTAATAAATGCGAGAAAAAATTTGGGCAAAAACAGTATCTATTTTTGCACCAAAGGACAGTACACGAAGGTCGCAAGGATTTCGCTTGCAACAGGTGTGGGAAGAAGTTTAGACAAAAACCGGATTTGTTAAAGCACCAAAGGGTAATCCACGAAGGTCGTAAAGATTTCGCATGTGACAAGTGCGAAAAGAAATTTGGACAAAAACCGAGTCTGCTCTACCACCAAAGGACATTGCACGAAGGTCTCAAAGATTTCGCATGCGAAAAGTGCAAGAAGAATTTTGGAAAAAGACAGCATTTGCTTGTCCACCAAAAGACAGTACATGAAGGTCGGAAAGTTTGACACTATCGCGAGGAGGAATGTTGATTGACAATTGTAAATACATATGGATATTTATCCAGATGTTTTTTTTTTAATTTTAATAAAAATTGGGCCGAAATGATTGTATTTTACGTAAACTTCACAGGCTATGAAATATCATAACACCTTTTACTTTCATGTCAGTGTTTCATTTTTCGTGTTTTGTTTACGTGTAAGCTGTTCAAGCTACGATCAGTCGAGAGTTTTTTTCACGTATTTTTGGAACTAGATTTTTGATAAATCTCACGTTATAATATCGGGATTTTGAATTGATCAAACATAGATTAGTGAACAATTTTGATGAACTTGCGAACAGACACTGCTTATTTCTGCTATCAGAAAAGGATGACAAATTTAATGTCAAATATCAGGATTCAACAATTTTTCAGTGGCCTTTTTTCATATTTACTCTTTATTTCAATGTACTTTTTGCGCGACTTTAGACTTTCTTCCGATTATTCGTAAATAAAACTAAATAAAGCAATAACATAAGAAATAAAAACGAAGCAAACAAATTCAACATTTAATTAATTTGATTTAATGAATCATATACAAAAATCTACACTATTCAATCGTTTAATAAAATTTGAAAAATCTGCATCATCTGCTCGATGATGGTTTTACAGCGCCTCATCACTCTAATCTTTGCTTTTTTGCGGGTAATGATTCGTCAGGATCATTTGTGAAATTCTGATCGGCGATACTTTTCAGCAGCAATTCGGCCACGAGATTGTGTCCACCCGTCTTGGCCAAGCTCAACGGCGTGTCGCCAAGCCTGTCCTGAGCATAGATTTGCAACGGCCGATACTTTTTGTCACAGAGCTCGACCAACGTCTTCGCCAAGACATGATCTTCGCCAAATTTCTTGCAAATAAAGTGCAGCGGACTTCGTCCCTCCGCGTCGGCTAGATTCGGATTGGCGCCCATTTTCAGCAGCAAAGTCCACACGTTTCTGCGATTGGCCAACGGAAAGACCTGCAGCGCGAAATGCAGCGTCGAATAGCCCGTACCCGTCACTCGGCAATTAGGATCCGCGCCGAGATCCAAGAATTTCTTGACGATGTCTTCGCAGCCGAATCTGCAGGCCACGTGGAAATGCGTCAGGCCGTCCACGTCGACGTAGTTCACGTCCAATCTGTGATATATGATGAAAAGTTCCCAGATGCTTTCGTTGTCGATGAGATGGCTGATGAGCCATCGATCGCATCTGACCGCGCGATGCAGAGCAGTGGTGCGACGCGTCACTGGCGGGTCATCTTGATCGAGGTCGGGCTCGTCCTTGTAGCCGCTGTGAGCCACGAACCGGATGACATTTCCCGGAGTGGGACGAATTTCCCCTACTCTACTGTAGAACTTCATCATATTCGCGAGAAGACGATTGATTTCTTCGGGTTGAAAAATTTCCTGGAGGTTAGGAAAATTGTTGTAAGAGCAACCACTGATTAGGTTGACGATTTCACGATGAAATGTTAGTATTTCTTCTTGGCTCTCGAAACAGATATTTTTTCGTACGAGGCTCTGCAATTTTTTCAACTCGGACATTGTTCTGCCTAATCATGCACAGAGAACAGATACTAATTATATAAAAAATTTTTTTTAGTTTTAATCACTCGCTACAGTTGATGTGGTCTCTCACACTAGTCGTTTACGCTGTTGCGGGGTCGCGAATATACATACACTACTTCGGAAAATAGAAGTTGAGTTGAGAGCTATAGATGGGGCGACTTTGAAAATTTGAAAAATTAAACACACATGCATTTATTTTCAGATTGAGCTACTTGAATGTTTTAAAATTTAGAAAAAAATATATCTGAAAAGCTTTTAAACAACGTATTTTGTTAAGATTTTTTCTGTAGAATCACGTATGCTTTTTTTGGTTTTAGCCTATACAATTATTTTACAGTGATGAAATTTTCATGTTTTGAAAAATTGTTCATCCGGTGACATGGGTCAATTATTTAATTTACGAGTTTGTGAAGTTAGAAAGAGAACGGATTTATTTGAAGTTTATTCAACAAATTATCAAATGCTGATCGTTCCCGATAATATTTGCAATGATTATAATTATTTGTGCATTGATTTCTTAGACGAAATTTACGTATTTTGATTCTATTTTATTATAATTGTAACAAAAAAATTAATTAATATGATAAGAGTGTTCATGGTAAAAGAGACAATCCATGTATTAATTTATTTATGTTAATAAGTTGGAAGTCGATATACTAATTGATCTATGGTAATAATTTGGGGGTCGATATGGTTGGTAATTTCTAATGCACACAGTGGGAAATTTCAGTTTTTTATATCTTTATCGAAAAGAATAAAGTCTTAGACGTATCATCGTAAACCTTTCGAGCGTACGAACTTGAAATAGTCTGAACATCGACGCGAAGATTATTTTTAAATTTTGTAGCCTATGGAATTTAATTTTATACGTACAAATGTGTAGGGGAGAAAAACAGACAGAGAACAAATCGTTGGCGTCGGCGGACGAGGGCTTCGAGGATGCGAGATCCGGCGATTTCGCAAAATCATCGCCGCGAGTGTCGCAGATCAATTTGGTGAATGCAGAAAAATCGAGACCGAAAAAAATCATCGAGGTGAGAGACTTGAGCGATCATAGAACCAATGTTATGGAGGGAGCACACCTGTGTTAAATTTTGTAAATTGAAAAAATATTGAAAATTATATGTTAGTTTTTTGTTTTTTATGTAATATTGTGTTTTTACAAATTTTTTTATGTATACATCAGAAAATATGTCTCTAGTGTAGAAGATTTTTGATATATTTTATTTACCTGTCTCGAGAACTAGTAATAACTGTTGAAAAGTAAAAAAATATGTTTTGGAATTTTCTTCACATTTTGGTGTGCAAAAAATTGTACGTAGAAAAACATAATAACAATTTTAAGCCCTCGAGGATCAAGTTTGGTTGCCAATTGCTCTCAGATTCGTGGCACAGGACTTTGGAACCATGTCATCATATAGATGAATTTGGCACTAATCGAAAAATTAAAAGTACTAGAGACACATATGCTGTTGTAAAAAGATTTTTAAAAACATAATCTTTCATCAAAAACATAAAATTTCAATCTTAACAAATGATTTAGATGTATTTTAATCTACAAGATCTAACATTAGACTGTCAATAAAAAAAAATTTTTTTTAAAACGTCAGGACGCCCCCTCAAAAGTTTTAAACCCCCAAAAAAATGAGCTCTACCAAATTTCAACTCATATGGTTGAAAAAAACTCGAGCCATGAATGGATGTTGATTAACATTAAATTAAATGAAAAAGTCGTTTTCTCGTATTATACATACGGGGTCCATTTAACTTAATTTTAATCACCACCCATCTTGTGACTCGAGTTTTTTCAACCATATGAGCTAAAATTTGGTATTTTTTCAGGGTTTCCAACATAGATGGGTCCCCATAAATCTTAAATATAATAATTATGACGTGTGAACTTATATAATTCTTAAGGAACCAACTAAAAAAACACTGACAAGAGGTCAAATCCTCATGAGCATGATCAAGCTGGACACGGTGGAATTTTCGCTGTACGAAGCCCACCCCATATCCTACGACGAGTACATCCGCACTTATGGAAAATTAAACAGCCAACAGGTTACCAACATTTTTCAACTAAAAAAAAAAATAATAATAATCGTCATCGTTAAAAAAATGAAAATCTCAGACTTACACGCAAACCAACGAGGACAATCTCGACGTCGAGATCCAGACCACCGGCATCGAGCTCGAGAACAAGTGGACGCAGTTCCCGGTGCGCTGCCGCGGCTCGCTCAAGACTCACGACGACGTGCGCCAGTTCAAGCTCGATCACCTGGGCTGCGGCGGGGACGCGCCCGATCAGAGCTCGTTCTTCGCGGCGCCGAGCTACGACGTCCTCCGGCTGACGGAATTTCTCGACCGAGCCGGCAAGCTGGTGCTGGCTCTGCTCGAGGAGAGTGAGATGGGCGGCGACGTGATGGGCAGCGACACGCGCGACTTTCCGTTCAGCGAGGGCTGCGTGAAGCTCGCCACCGGCTCGATCTCGTTTCTCGCCGGCCGACAGGTTCGCCGGCTGTGCTACGCGGAGTCGAATCACAAGATTCTCGCGAGCGTTCACGCGTCCTCCCACGAGGTGCGTACTTATAATTTCGAATCGAATAAATTGAAGAAACTGTGAAATTTTAATGGTCTAAGCAAATATTTAACACGATTCGACAAAATATTTCTTGGGTTCTATGAATGTGAATAATTGAATTAATGAAAATGCTACAGTTGACTCTTTCATGGGACAAATAGGAAAATTTTTCTGACTTAAAAGGAGACCACATAAGATGCGGATCGCCAAATATTCTGAAAATTTTTTTGTGGTCTCCTGGTACTTAACAATGAAGTCCCTTATGCTTAGTTTGATCCAATGGGCCTTAGGGCTCACTTTAAAAATCATTTTCAAATTTATTAAAACATCTTTGTGATTTCCTAACTCGTAACGAGACGCCTTGAACAAAAAATTGCATAATGTACAAGTCTTAGAATTAGTCAAAGATTACATCTGAATTTTTTCAGAATTTTTGAGATCTACTATCCTCTGTTTTAAAAGGCCTAAATTTGACGCGTTTTTACGTTTTTCTTAAGAATTTCAGAGACCTTTGAAAATAAGTGATAGCAGGTCTCAAAAATTCTGAAAAAATTCAGATGTAATCTTCGACTAGTTGTAAGACTTGTACATTATGCAATTTTTTGTTCAAGGCGTCTTGTTACGAGTTAGAAAATCACAACGATTTTTTAATAAATTAGAAAATGATTTTTAAAATGGGTCCTAAGGCCCATTGGATCAAACTAAGCATAAGGGAATTCAATGTTAAGTACTAGGAGACCACAAAAAAATTTTCAGAACATTTGACGACCCGCATCTCATGTGGTCTCCTTGTTGGAGAGCTTTCAGATTTCGAGAGAGTTCATCTTAAAAGTTCTTTTCATGTAAGATTCAAAATTAATTTTTACTTCTCAAGCTTTTTGACTAAATGAATCATAATAAAACTTTATTTTCTATTCAAAAATACTTAAATTTTAGAAAATTAAAGCTCAAGCAAGTAAGAATGTACTTGAAAAACAAACATTCATAATTGAAAAAAGTCTAATAAAATTCTAGAAATATAATTCAACCGAGGTAGAGGGCTCGTTTCACATTCATTTAAATAGATTCTAGAAAATCTAACACGATTTTTTTCCTTTCTACTCAAAACTTTTTGATATTTTTTTTCATTGTATTTAATACTATTCTTTTTCATTGAACTTAATAATTTTATTAAAGTATCGATTTTAATCATTTTTTTTTGTATAATATTTGGAATTTCATTCGTATTAGTGTTGGTAGATATTTATTTAATTCGCGGACAGCGACAATCTTTAAGAATATTCATTAAGTTGATTACTGTCATAAGTTATTAAAATGAGGTTTGTCCAAATACCAACATGTTTCTAGCTTTCCGACTTATAGAAGGATTCGGCTAATAGAGAGTCTGTACTGTATTTGAAATGAGTTAAAGTAATTAACACTTATTCGATTGTGCCAAACAATTGTTATTGTCGTTATTTTTAGAAATTTCAATTGACCGACAAGCAGGATTACATAAAGGACTGCTGCGTCGGCTGCGTCTGGAACATCAACGAGCCGTCGAGGCCGACGAAGATGTTCTACTCGCCGAGTCCCGTGACCGCCTGCTGCTTTCACTGCACCAACAACAACATCGTTTTCGCTGGTAATCAAGATGGGTATGTGTCCATCGTACACATATATAATCTTCGTCGATTTTTACCATTACGCTCAAGACTCCGCTTGGTCGTTGCAGCTCGATCTGCCTGTGGGATCTGCGCGAGGACGAGACCTGGCATCAGCGAATCAGCGACAAGACCAACGAGATAGACTGGATAGTGCGCAGCTCGACCTACACGACGGCGGGAAACGTCGAATTGTCGCACTCGAGCACGGTGGTGGCCATCGGCACGCTGCTCAACGCCGCCAATCTCGACAGCGGTCAGGAGGAGAGCAGCAGCAACGACGGATTCTTCAACATTCAGCTGTGCAGCCTCGACGAAGACGGCCGACTGATCGTCTGGAGCGTCATAAGGAATCTGACGCAGCAGCAACAGCAGCAGCAACGAAACGCCGGCAGCAGCAGCAGCAACGACAAAGATCTCGGCCTGGCCCAGTGGGGTCGCGTGAAACTCGTCAAGAGCCAGGAGGTTGCCACGAGGCGGCTCGAGGTCGGCGGCGTGGCCAAGTGCTTCGTCGACATGGCCGTGGACCAGGCGGACAGCGACAATCTTTATCTGGCCGTCAACGACACCAACGTGCTGTACGTCAATTGCGCCGGTGGCGGGAGAAACAGCACTCCGTTTTACAGGATCAACGAGATGGGTGGGTGCAATAATAATATTTCGATGTATTTTCGTGGTAGCTATTCTTGTTTTTTTTTTGCAATTTCTTCGTTTTTTTTCCAGATTCTTGCGGCAGCACGACGTGCCTCGAAGTATTTCCGTTCAAGCGATCGTATTTTCTAGTAAGTCAAAATATTAGAAATTTTCGATTCCAATTTGCAATTTTTAAACCGATAGATATTAAAAATAATATTTGTAAATTAGTTTTAAATCGACTCAAATAGCCGTGCGTTTCGGGTTAATTAAAAAAAGGAGGGAAATACAATTTTATCCCAGAAATTGCATTAATTATTGAAAGTTATTTTTCGGTTACACTTGAAAAAAAATGTCATTATTATTCATCAATAATTATTTGATTTCATTTACAAAAGAGGAGTAAGTAAAGCTTGGCTTTTTTAAAAAGGGTTTTGATGAATATTCTAAAAGTTATACAATCTAAAAATATCGTTTCATTTTAATTTTTTTGTTGAGTTGCTTCCATCTTGTTTAAGTATCAACCAAACGGATAAAGAAAATACATTAAAATAGGATACACCGAACAGTTTTTGCCCGAATCTAGAAATTCGAAGTTCCTCTTAAACTAGATGACATTTGCTGGAGGATGAACCTAAATAATTGCAAAAAAAATTAAAAATTGTTTAAATGGCGGACTTCACTACGAATTCATTTGAATTTCGTAGCATGCGCTAGCCCCAAATCCAAAGCGCAGTATCGTATGCGCGCGCACTGCGCAACGCATGTGTTGGAGGCTGACTAGTTGGAAAAATCGAATCTACTTTCTCTAAAATACATGCTTGATCATAAGCCGTGTTCATTACAGACATTCAGTCTTTGCAAGTTCGTGAAACTGTTCACATCTTCGTATCTTTAACTACTTTCCTCAAGTGTAAGTGCGTCATTAGTTTCGGCCACGTGTTCAGTCGTAAAATCCAAATCAACCATGGCAAAAGACAATTTAAAAAAAAATTGTTCCAACGAGAGAAACATAAAAGATACCTTGAACAGGTTTAGAAGCAATACCCTTCGAATGGATTTTAAACAAATGAAGAAATGTATAGATATGATAAAACGGGAAAGTACATCTACACTTTTCAAAATCATATTGGATGAGAAGCATTTGGAAGTTCTTGAATTTCTGCAGCAACGAACGAAGCTCAATATTCATAGAATATTTATAGAAGGAAAGTCGGCAATTCATTATTTGTTCAATCTCTACTACAAATACGAATCCAACTTACGAAACGATCATCATCTCATCGATCCTGCAGACGATCTCCAACAGAAAAAAAATGGTCGGAAAATTTTTTAAACAATTTTCTTTCAATGAATTGTACAAATTTGAAAATTTCCACACAAATCTAATTTTTTCAGGTTTTTGGGTCCATTTTAAACAAAAAAGTACTCTTGTGTTTTTTCTCTAAAATCATATATTATAAGTATTTGGTAACTCATACCGCGTATATAGGTGTATCATTAGAAAGTCTAAACATTTTCCTTTAATTTGATATAAATTTTATATAGTCAATAATGCCGCTGACTATTTTTAAATTGAAATTTTAAAAGTGTACGCCTTATCTGGAACAGACTGTTATAACGGTGTGATGCATATTTAACCTCGAGTGTTCAGACAAACTACACTCTCGTCGATGCCTCATAAAGTCGTATTATTATGTAATCACATTTTCGCTTTGATTTCTTCTATAATCAGCAATAAAAGCCCGACCGAAAACAGTGACGAAATAGTGACCGACAATAGGTGCTGATTTTTAAACTTATGCCCTTAAAAAGTCCGAAAGATAGATCGATAACAAGCTCAAAAAACGGAATATTACACAATATTAGCTTGACGATATATTTCAAAGTAAATATCGCTTTGTAACGAATTTTGGCCTAATGTGCTGATTTATTCATTTATGACATTATTTACAAATGATAGTTTAGCACTGATCAAATCTCTATTTAGTTAGGCATAAGAGCAGTTAGTGTCCTTTGGTGTAGATCGATATGGTCATAATGTAAGAAAAACCCGGGCAGCGTATATTTCATCTATGATTTGCTTCAACGACAAAAGAAAAAAATATTACATCTTTTTGTCCAGGCAGGATGCAAAGACGGTAGCATAAGGCTGCACTCACTGCACGCGGAGACACCTCTCATGAAACTGAAGGACGAGGATAGCTTGGCCGGAATCCGTAGCATTCAATGGTCCAGATCGAGACCGTCGATTTTTTACGTTCTGGACGATCAATCCAGGTTCGTTGTTTTTCTTGGGTTTTTTCATACTCCGAACGCTTATCTGTATATAATTTTCTAACGATCCGCAGAATCGCCGTGTGGGACATGTTAAAAAGCGCCACCAAGCCGATTTACGTGGTAGCGACCACGAACTGGGAATCCGTCAAATGTATCAAGCTGTCGCCGTGCAACGTCGAACGCGACAAGCAAAATCAATACATGGTACGGGCATTCGCAGTTTCCGATGCGATCGATCGCTCGTAATTGATAATAATTATTAAATCATTCTGCTTCAGGCCATCGGAACGTACGGCGGCAACGTCGAGGTTCACAAGCTGAAGAGAGATTTCTATTTTTCTAAACAAGAGGATATGCAGCGCGAGATGGATGCCTTTTTGGAATTCGTCTCCATTTTGTAACATATGTTCCAGTTGAAAAGGGCAGAGTTCTCTTGGACAGAGAGGACGAGTTTATTTTGTGAAATTTCTAATTTTGAAAAACAGTTAACGATCGTTCGCCAAAAAAAAAATGTATACGAATTAGATACGTATCCGTTTAAACTTTTGCACTGTTATACGTATAGAATAAAACTTATTTTTAAAACTAGAATAATAAACTCGAGCCAAAAAAATAATGAATAAAAGTATTTTCTCATTTCACCGAGATGTAATGCGACACTTTTCCAAAGCAGCGCGCACTAGTCGGAAATACGATCGATCAAAATTAAGTAAGTTTGCGACGCTCGGTTTTGAGCGCGATCATCGAGTTTGTGTTATATACACTAGCGAGCGCGCGGATATCACCGCTCGTTCTTGCTTTCAATCAGTTTGGTAAACAAGGATTGAATTCAGCTCGGACGAGTTTGATATATTCAACATCGGCTCTGTAAAACTTCGACTCGGCAAGATGAATTCTACGTTCGAATTGATCGATGGGTAATTTTCACGAAGCATAAAAAAAAATTAAAGTACGAAAGCTTATCGTTGCACAAATCTTCTTTCAGATTTGGAGATCATCTCGGCCATGCGATGCTCGATGACATCGTCTTTGAGATAATCGACGAGGAGGATTTGGAACGGTTTCGGTTTTCTGCGCTTCAGCCAGAACATTCGGTAAGTTCGCTTTCATTATGATATTATAGCGTTCTTCATTCGGTAGATATTTTTCGCGAAATTTTCAACGTATCTTACTTTTGCGTCAGATTCACCACTGGCCAATGGAGTACGAAGAAAATCACGAGAGCGAGTCAGACGACGAGCCAGACTTCGATTTTCGCACGCACAACATCGACGCGAACGACGGCATTATCTACGAATGCGACACATGCGGCAAGAAGTTCTCAACGAGGAGAAATTTCGAAAAGCACATCGATAGAGTGCAAATCACTTATGCGTGCGACACGTGCGGAGAGAAATTCTCGAAGAAGGGTCAACTCAGAGTGCACATCGTAACGAGCCACGTCAATCGCATCGAGCAATACTCAACGAAGACGAGTCTCAAAAAACGCATCGATGATGCGCACAACGATATCGCGTTACATTCGTGCGACACGTGCCGCAAGATATTTTCCAATAAGACGAATCTCAAGAGACACGTCGATGTGGCGCACAAGGGCCTCAAGTATACCTGTCTCGAGTGCAGAAAGCCATTTTCGGCGAGGAACAATCTTCAGGCGCACGTCGATTCGGTTCACAATAAAATCGCTCACAAGTGCGACGTGTGCGGGAAGAAATTCTCGGTCAAGAGTAGTCTCAAGGCCCACATGGCTTCGGTGCACAACAGCACAAGCCTCGCGTGCCACTTGTGCGACAAGAAATTCTCGTTCAAGAGTAATCTCAAGATGCACGTCGTGTCGGCGCACGGCGACGTCGCCAATGCCTGCCAGATCTGCCAGAAGACGTTCAGACGCGAGGAAAATCTCAAGAGCCACGTGAACGCGATGCACAACGGCCAAGCGGCTCACGCGTGCGATCGGTGCGGCAAGAAATTCGCATTCAAGAGCCATCTGCAAGTCCACGTAGCTGCGGAGCACAGAGTTGTCAAGACATCGACAGGGCTCGTTATGGTATGATGCTTATACGTGTGATGTATATGTATGCGAAAAGAAATTCGCAGCTGAGGTTGATCTCGAGAAACACATGGAATCGGTGCCTTTTCGTGTCGCAGTATGCATAATGCGAGATGAACGAGAGAAAATTTGTACAAATGAAAAAGTACTCAATTACGAGGTGGAAAATTTTGTTGTTCTCAACTCGTGCGAAAAGTAAGGGAGAAAATTTGCTCTTTGCTTGCGATACACGCTTGGAAAAAATCCTGACCAGTGAGCTCACTCTGCTCCACAATGATATTGTGTATGATACGGCACACTTCATGCGTACATAAATTTATAATTGTAAAATTAATGTTAAATCACTAAGCTTTAAATTGTTCAATTTCAATGCTTACAAAATTTTTGTATTGAGATATATAATAACAGTATAGAGAATATTTAAGAAAAAAATTATTGTCATAAATAATTGACTTAACTCGATTATTAATACAGTCGATTATTATCAACTTAGCTTTCATACTCCACCCTTCTCTCGTGGCATGATGTAGCAACTATAAAATAAAAGCACTCCTGATGGTGCTGTCTCTGACACTGCTTCGCTTTTAAGTCTAGTGAAACTTTCAGTGATGATATCAATGCCAAACTATATAAGAAAATCAAACCTTAAGAGGACTGACAATCTCTCCGATAAAAATAATAAACACAAATAATGGCCTTATGTAAAAAAAAAAGATCATTCAAGGTGAAATTTCCATTAAAAATAAAAAAAATAAAATAAAAAATTTTTTTGACATCAACTTTCTTTTAGAAAGATTTCTTTTAGATTAACGAGGATTGAATAAGCTGACAATGATTTTAAAAACTCGATACTTTGTTATAAAAACTATCGAATCGGTGAAAATCGCACACTTAAAAATACGGCGTAAATGATTGGATTCTCAATCAGAAAGTTTCGATTCGAATTTGGAACCAGTTATTGTACACTGCGCCGTTTGCATTGCAGTTCGCACGCAGTCGCAATCGATCCAAGTTTTTTTGGTGAAAGTACACTGAAACCCCCATAGTCTTCACAAGTACAGCCGCCGGATGTATCTCAGTCGTTTTTTCTTTCTCGTGGTGAGCGTTAGTTGGTGTCGGCTCTGTCACAGTCAATTGCGACCTCGTGTTCGTACGGTCTAGCCACGTGTTTTTTACTCTTTCCATAAAGTATACGTATATCGTCGCGGTTAAGTGAATATTACGACATCGCAGCGACTGCAATAAGTGATTTTTAAAAGTAAAAAATATCTGTGTGTATAAACGTGAAAAACGATGTCTACGCCAGAAGACCAATCACTAGTGGAAAAATTAAAATACTTACGAAAAAATGTTAATTGGAGTATCGAAGAAGAAAGATGTACTTTTCTCGTTCAACTTTATCTACTCGGAGATATCGTTAATAGAATTCCTGCAGTTCATCTCTTTTTGCATCCCAAAGAGATTCAGCGTCTTCTCTGGGACTCCATAAATTACAAGAACGAAGAGTTTGGTTATCTTCCAAGCGATGTGTTCATTGAGATGGCTGCCGTAGATGAATACAAAGACGAGCCCGAAGCCGATGAGAATGAAATTATATCGCCACGTCGCACTACACTAATACATCATGCGGTTAAAAAAAACGAAGAGTGTCGCCACTGGACTCACGTTTTCCCTCTCCTTTTCGATATATGCGGCAGGTTTGATGTGAATTACACAGACGAGTCAGGCTACACACACTTTCACGCGGCCTGCCGGTTTAACTCCCTCGAAATCGTCCGAGGATTTCTCGAACACGGACAGGATCCCAATTGTATCTGGTCAGAAACGGGTGATTCAGCACTACACATTGCCTTAGAATATGCAGAATTGGACATTGGTATAATGGAAATACTGCTGAGGAGAGGCGCTGATCCAAATGTAGCCAACGACGAGGGATCAACTCCTTTGCATATTATTTGCAAAAGAGTTATGTTTTATTGCGATGACTTTGCTGAATCTTTTTTCAAAATCAACGAGGAGCTCAATCAGCGGGTGCAGGTCGATGCCCTTGACAAGTTGGGTAGGACACCCCTTCAATTGGCAGTGGTGAATTGCTTGCCCTACGCAGTCGAGAGTTTACTGAATCATGGCGCCGTTTTGTCGAGTTTCGTATTTCCCACTTCGAGACAGTTCGACGATTGCTTCGAGTTACATGGCTACAAACATATTTATTCTCAATTAAGATTAGCATTTGGCCTTCTAGCCGTCATCGAGTGCCTAGAGAAAAGAGGATACGAGCTGGACCGAAGCGACGCCTTGATCATTATGAAATTATTCGACAAGTACAAATTGTTCGAGGAGATGGAGGATCTTGACGAACGTTGGTTGGACGACGAGGAGTTTGCAAAAAAAGCAAGGGAGACAATGGTAAAACCAGACTTTTCTATCTACGATCTATTCCATTCACGACCCCAAGAGGCAGCAAAACGACTGACTTATATGGACTACTATGACTTAGTAAAAGCGGACACATTTAGGTATATTCATTCAGAAACGAGCTTTGTAAATCAGGCTCGTTGTAGGTATTTGTGCGTGATGATGTCCAGAAAATTTTTCTGGAGCTGGGCGCTGGAACCTTTTTGGAAATTGATTCACTATCGGCTGCCGCTTGAGTGCTGTGAAATGATCCTTGAAAAGCTGATGAATCAAGATTTATATCACATTTTCTTGTCAGCTAAAGGTCAAACTGATAAGGACGATAAAATAAATGTAATAAAAAATGGAATAAAACGTAATAACGAAAGACCTATTAGAGCCAGAAAAGCCCCAAAAAGGCTGAAAATTGAATGGTGAAAATAATATAAAATGTAAAAGGAGTGAAAAAGGTGATGATTCGTAAAATATTTGCTCGGTGATGGCAGTCCAAAACTCGAAATGTTATAACGTATATTTTCAATATTTTTGTTATGTTTATGGCCATGATATTTTACTTCAAATGTTTGTATATTCTTATCAATAAAAAAAATACTTAAAAACTACATGAAAAATAAGTGCTCATTTTCATGACATTGCAGCCGCTAAGAAAATATTCAATACATCTTTGTAATTATATCACAGTTCAGAATTGATAGCAGATATAGCCATTATATTTTACTTCAAATGATGGTATGTTCTTATCAATAAAAAAAAAACTTAAAAAATGCATAAAAAATATATGATAAAATATATGACTATTTTCATAACTTTGCAGCCGCTAAGCAAATATTCAATAAATCTTTGTTCGTTAACCATTCCATAATCATATCACAGCAGAGAATTGGCAGCCGGTAGTGTAAAATTTTCTCCCAAAAAGGATACAGTGTCCACCTACGGAAAAATCTTCTCGTAAATTTCTCGCGCAGATGCTTGGCACAATCGTCTCTGAACTCCGAGGGGAGGTCCCACAATTTTTTCGAGCGCCACAACTCCAAGTAGTCCTCGTACGTGAGTAGTTTCGCGGCCTCTTGGTATTGTAATCGGGTAAGGTCGTAGAGCGACAGACTCGGATTGAACATGATTTTCTTCGCCTCGATCTCGAACTTTTCGTCGTCGTACCAAGATTCTTCGACATTCGGCGATGCAAGCAGGTCGTTCTCGGTTAAAAATTCCATGATTTTCAGGGCGTCGCTTCGGTCCAGCTCTTATCCTCTCTTCTCTAGGCGTTCCACGATAATCAGCCGACCCGACGCTATTTTCAATTTATCCTCCCAATCGAATATTCGATATATATTCACATCATCGAATTGTTTCGCAGTAGGCAAAACGAAGCTGAACGGATCGGCCCCATGATTCAAGAGTACATTGACCATATTGGGTCTGGCATTAGTCACAGCAAATTGAAGGGGTGTTAGGCCCTTATTGTCTTGAGCCTCGCATTGTAACTTTTGACGTGTGTCTTTACAGATCTTGAAAAATGTCTCCAAAAATGCAGCATCATCAGACTCGCTATCGCAAATTATGTGCAGAGCAGTAGATCCGTCGTTTTTGGCTTTATTCGGGTCGGCGCCATTCCTTAGCAGGAACTCGACCAATGACTTGTTGCCTCTATACACAGCATGATGCAATGGTGTGTAGCCGTCTTGGTTCTGGACATCGATCCTCGCCCCGAACTTGAGCAGCATCTTCGCCAATTCGACGTCGTTGTTTTCCAAGCAAACCCTGTGCAGAGGTGTGGATCCAGCCTCATCGATGTATTTCGGTCACATTTTTGAAGTTGCGGGCCACGGCATATTCTAGAGCTGTCAAGCCGCTCTCATCTTGTAGGTTGATACGCACCGGCTGATGTTTGTAGTCGGTGAGATCGATCAACATCTGCATCAAGTCGCTATCTTCGGGACCCATGCTGATGAAGTGCACAGCTGTGAGTCCTTTCTTGTTGGCCACATTCGGATCAGCGCCGTGTCTCAGCAATATTTCGACTATCTCTGGATCCACGTGATCGGACATCAGTGCCGCGTGTAGCGGTGAAGTGCCTGTCTCTGTGTCGAGGATATTGGGATCCTGGCCGAGCTCGAGGAATTTCTCGACGACGTCTATGCAGCCCCACTCGCAGGCCACGTGGAAATGCGTGTAGCCGGACTCCTCGTCGATGTAATTGATATCAAATCGATCGTAAATTTTAAAGAGCTCACGAGCGATGGGGTGGCCCTGGTCGTACTCTGCACGGTGCAGTGCTGTGCGGCGACGCAACATCAACTTGCCGTCTTTATCGATTTTGGGCTTGTCTTTGTAGCCGGTCTCGACCAGGAACCTGATGAATCGTGTTGACGGGTTCTCTTCTTGGTCTATATCCCAGCGATCTATGGTATCCGAGAGAAGAATCTCTAGTTGTTTGGGCCGAAAAATTCTCTGAAGGGCAGAAAGTCGACCGTCCCAATCGTTGAGTAAGCGATAAAATTCATCGAACAACTCATGTCGCTTTGCTTGGACCTCCCAATCGATATTGTCTCCTAAGTACCTCAAATTGTCCATCCTTTATTGTGTTGCAATTAATTTCCTTTGCGAAACTGCTATTAACGAATATGATGTTATAGGCACTCGCACACAACACACTGGCTTAAAATTTAATCACGTGGCTGCGGTAAATGTGATTTTCCTAGCTGCTTACACTGCAACGTGCGTCGTGACTTGTACAATGTACATGCACTGTGTTCTTGCATTAAGATCAAGAAGAGTGAAAAACGAAGGCGAAGCTATGAGAGATTAATTTCTTCCTTTCACTGACTTTTCTCATGAACTACTGACTATACATAATCTAATCGTTTTGAGCATTGGGGCGGAGCCTACAGTCTACTGAAAATATAACTACACGGAAAGTGTTTGACTCTTGAAAGATAAAGCTACGAGAATTACAAAACACGATGCAGACTTTCACCACAGGTGGTCGTGCTGCTCAACCTTTTCTGAAGCTGCTTTACAAAAAGCGTAGCAAATCTCCACTGTGCTACCTAGTATCTGCCAAATTTTCTAGCCATTGCAGCTTTCTAGAAATGTCGCGCGATCGTGCACTCGAAAATGTTAAGCAGTCTTAGCAATTGACGAAGCGGCATGCTCTTTCGAGAAATATTTTTTTCCGTGTATACGGCTGTCTAAAGTGAGGGCTTGGAGAGTCTTAGTTGCCCAATTAATGTCAAATATAAAAGTAAAAACGTATTAATTAACTAATTGCAAGTGAAGGGACAGAAGTTTTTCGACAAATAAAAACTATTTCTTCTGGAATATGTAGGCATACGCACTCATAAGTAGGGCTGTGCTGTGCGAGTTTACTCGAAAAAAGTCGACTCGTTGAGTTCGAGTTTTTTCCTCGAGTTCGAGTCAAGTATTTGCAATGTATTTAAGTTTTGAGTAAATAAATGATGAATTAATAGTCTCTAGATCCCGTCCCTTATATTATATAAAATCTTTTATTTTTAGCCAAAACTGTATGGGAAACAAATTTTACCTGGACAACGAGAATTATGAAGATTTTTATACCCTTTTCAAAAAAAGAGCATACAAATAATTGGAAATATTTTTCTTACTTTATATCTATTGACCTTATTTACCGTTACAGTAATTGATCATTGAAGGATTTCGTTGATTTATGATGAGTTGAAATAATTATCATTATTTAAGATGTTGAAAATCAACGGAAGCTCACGAAAAAATCAAATGCACTACATTACCAATTTTCTGGCTGGTAAACATCAAGATTTGTAACTTTGTGTTTAGAATTTATTTATCAATTTGGAAAATTTTTAGTGTCCATTTTTACTCGAAAACTAGTGAATTTAGAGAAAAAGTCCAAAAAACCAAAGTTTGAAAAGGAGTTCAGAAATTCCATAAAAATTCTCTGAGATACCTTGATAGTCGTGATTACCCCTGATCATATTTATATCGTGATTCCCTAACGGTAACATGGTGAAAAAAAATCAAAAACTTGATTTTTTGCAAAAAATTTTACTTTTTTTTCGTATAAGTAGCCATAACTTTTTTATTACGCAAAGAATCGAAATTTTGAGCTCAGTTTCTGAAAGGACATTAAATTTTACATCGAAATAGGTCCATACGAAACTTTTTGGAGGCCTCCAACTACAATAAAAATCGCTGCGAAAACCAACAAAAAAATCGAGAATTTTGGTCGTTAATGGGTTAAATTTATTACTACGATTCACAAAAAAAATCGATTAATCTAAATAATACATCAAAACTCAAAGGAAAAAAGTGCTCCACTTTTACAGTAATTTTTACATGATAAATCGTTGAAACAGTTCGCTAACAATATTTTTTCTTTTATTTCGTCTGGTCACATAATCATCTTTCACGGTCCAAGTGATCACAGTATTCGCAGTAAGCCGAGGACGGCGATCGCCGAGATCGTCCAGGCGCTGCTCGCGACGGTCGGGGCTCCGGACGAGCCGCACTCCACCTTGTCCTGTAGGCTCGCTAAGACCTCCTCGTACGTACGACTGTGTCGGAGATCGGACACGTGTCTCTGTATGAGCTGAGTTTGATCCTTTGAAAATGAAAATGAGAAAACATCAAAATTGGTCGAACGAGGTTTTCCACTGACAACAATCGAATCGAACTATCGATGACTTACCGGGAAAATGACGTCGCTCTGGCCGTCGAACGTATTGTACATCATGAACATGGCCGTCTCGCGGTCGTGCGTCCTGCCGAAAAATCGATCGAGCTGCAAAAAGAGCTGATAAATCTCTTCCCTCCTGACTTGGGTGATATTTTTACGCCCCAAGACCTGTAACAATTAAAATTATCAGCGATATAAATTTCGAGTATTTTTTTTCTCTCCGAAGTAATACACTCACCGATCCCAGTGTTGTCTCGGCCAAGAAACACGGCCCCTCGTCGAGTCGATCCTCGTTCTCGCACAGCGTACGGTAATTCATGTGGAAAATCGAGAAGCCCGAGTAGTACCGCTTGGCAGCGCCGACATTGACGAAGGCCACGTCGGCGCCGTTCATGAGGCACTTGAAGGTGTTCTCCTCGGGCCCGAGGCTCTTCTCGAAGTGCGACTGATTGCACAGCGAGTAGAGATTCTCCGGCAGCGAGGATTTTTCCCTGCCGTCCAGATCGTAGACGCAGGACCGATTGAAGAATCGCGACACGGCTTCCACGTCGTCGCAGGGCAATCGAGGCGACGAGCCTCTGATGGCGGAATAAAATGCGTTCCAGCCTTGAGAATAGAGAGAGAAATTTGAGAAATTGAAGATAATTTTCAGTCCGTGATAAAGTCAAGTATGAAAAAATACGCACCGACGCTTTTGATTGCCGTGAAGCAGGCTCTTTTACCCTTGAGATCGTCGAAACTCCGGAATTTCGCGTCTTTTCGCACGATCGCGGCGTATCTGCTCGAGTCCAAATTCTGCTTGGATATGAGATGGACGATCGGCGTGAGATTCATACTGCAAGGATAAAAATCTATAGTCGTATCACGTACTGCACACACAGCAGACGTCGTAGAAATGCTTGATATTAAAAACGGCTCTTTGACCAAAAAATACCTCTTTTGAATAAACTTCAATTTATTTAAGATTTACTTTGGCTTGTTTTTGACGATTTTTATGTTATAATTATGTCAAAAATATTATGCGCGTATTAGATCACACTTCATTTCAAATTTTAGAACAGTTTTCAACTAATTTAATTACGATAATGTTACTTTAAGCTTCATCTGCTAGATGGCGAGTACCTTTAAATTTATAAAACCGCAAGTGATAAAGTCAATGTAATTGTATAAGTCAAGGCAAGATTATCATTCAAAATAATAATTGATGCTTATGAGTACCATTTCAAATGTACAAAATTAAAAATTAGTACTGAAAGTGCTTAAATGCTGAAACTTACGGTACATCTAATATAAAATAACAATAAGTTACGATATAAGACTTATAGTAAAAATTGTTATGTTTAGCTGGGTCGTATGCTACAACTATCGTAAAAATTACTAAAATCCACCACAGTTCGACATCCGGGCACTTTTCTCCGGGAACGTTGCAATTTTTTTACCACAAAGCCGTGTCATATATTTCTATATAGTATACCAAATAGTTGTAAATCGTCGTACCCTCTCGCGTGAATCTCCTCGTGGGGCCGCGCCACGAAGACGTCGCAGCGATCGTCGCGCACGGCGTCCAGTGCCGCCTGGCGGTCCCTCTGCTGGATGCACGAGATCCTGGGCTCGACGTCGAGTGCCGCAGCGGCCGACTGCAGCCAGCCGCACTTGCTCGCCTCCAGATTGGACGCCACGCACCAGCGCACCTCGCGCTCCGGCTGGCAGGTCTTCTCGCCCTTGGCGCTCAGGTATCCCTGGACTGGCGCGCGCACGAGATTTTCGGTCAGTTATGGTTTTATTCGCGCGGGTCGTATATAGTATCGAGGCTGGGGGGCTTACTCACATTTTAGCATGTAATCCTCGGGGCTCAGAGGCCGCGTCGACGCGAGATAGGAAAATTTGTACGTGGCGTGGATCACGGGATAGAAGTCCTTGCCGAGCTCCTGGACGTCGGAGACTTTTTTGGACACGAGGTCAGCCACGTCGCTGCAACGAACAAGAAGAAGAGGAAGAAATTATGCATCGGATTCATATTTACAAATATTCGCCGGTCTATATTCAAACGCGAGTTTCAATTTTTGGCGTAAATTCAAGAGAGAGAGAGACACCTTGTGTTGCGAGAACTGCTCGTCAGCTGTTAAAACATTTGACGAGCGATTAAGCGCGCGATCTTAACCGGTTCACTGGCGACGTATATCGCGCGCACATGTGTACGAAAGAAATATTTTTTCTTTTTCAAAACGCACAGCCCTTGGGAGGTATCGCGTACGAGCTGGCGAGAAAAAAAACCTCACCTTCTCGCGGCTATGACGGATCTCGGCTCGGCGATCCAGGTGCAGGTCTTGTTGACCGACAGAGGAATGAACATGCCGTCGGGGCACAGCAGACTGAATCCGTAGCTCGCCAATTCCTGCGAGAAAAAAAAAACAAAAATAAATCAATAAATCGATTCACGATGACGCCTCGGATTTTATACGCAATGTACTTTCTTACCGCGAAGTAGGGAAGGGCGTGACTGCGGCTGAGCCAGGCGATATCGCCGACGTTCTCCAGCAGGCAATTGATCGCGCCCTGCAGGCCGTAGAACTTGTCGCCCTCGAAGCAGCCCGACGGGCTGCCGCACAGGGCGCAGAGATTCCTGTACTTGGATTCTGCGTGTGTGCGTCGGGAGATTTTTTTTTTTTTGCATTATTTCGCGTACATATTTTTTTCGGCGAAGCTACGAATTGTACTTACTCAATCGACCGTCGTAGACGGAGTCCAGCGACCAAGGGCCGGCAATGCAGGCCGACTCGAAGTGACTCGACAGGTCGGCCAGTCTGTTCTCCAGCAGGGTCTTGTTGCGATCGCAGCCCCTCGGTATGAGCCATCGTTCGAAGTACTGCCCAGCAAACGATAAAAAAAAACAACAACAATTTTTTCGTTTTTCCTACATATATGTATAATTACGTAAACTCACCGTCGTGTAATGATAATGATAATTCTGACTGTGGCCGATCTCGAGGCCGATGTAGCAGAGCTTCTTGTTCTTCGTCACCCACCTGTTGTCGAAGCGATTCTTCACCAGGGCTATCATCTCCACGTCCAGCTGGGGCTGGCCCTTGTCGAACATCCTCAGCTCGTGCGTCACCCTGATGTCGACGGCGGCGTCGCCCTCCTTGGCCGTGCTCAGCGTGGCGAGCGACAGATCCTCGGGCTCGAGCACGGTAAAGTCCGCCGTGCCCGCCTGGATCATGCGCAGACACGAGAGTCTGTGCGCGTGACAGAAACGTCGATCGTTTTCTTTCTTTTCTTTTTTTTTTTAACCGTAATGATATGATATTTTTTGATAATATTACCGATCGCTCGCTACGACGCAGCTGATGTCCGAGGATTTGAGCTTGAGATTGGCGCACGACCTCATCAGGGCGTCGTTCTGTCTCTCCGATCTTTTCTCCGTGGTGCAAAATTTCACTGTGAATCACGAGTACTACGTGTAAAGATCAAAACTTACAAAGCATATGAGTAATTTCTCCGTAGTTTTAAAATAAGAGCACGAAAAAAACTGACACGAAAATTTGGGTGTACCCTGTTAGGAATGAATTTTTCTTACTATCAATGAAAAATATTAATTGAAAATAGGCCCGTCTTCTTTGGAATTTCAATTTTTTAATTTTTAACGTGTAAAAAAAAATTTTCAATTATCCGTGAATGGGTCAATTTCAATGACACGCAGCTCTGTGTGGGCTCATTTTTTTATTTATGCTAGGACTTTTTTACGATGTCAACTGATTACAAAAAAATCAATCGTCTTTTACAAGATTTAAGTAAAATAAGTGAGAATTTTTTTCAAGTATCGACTTCGTTTAAAAAACACCTCAAAAAGATTCGAAACAATGAGTATACCCTATTCTAAACTCAATTTTCCTAAAAGTACATTAAAAAAGGAAGATTCTAACAAAATTTCAAATCAGTATGAAGATCTTAAGTACAAATTTTGATTTTACTCAAGAATAAAATCAAATTTCAACTCCACCATATTCGGGAGACTTAGCTTGAATTTTTTGAAAAAAAAGTTGTATGCCTAAAAATGTCTAATAAATATTTATTAAATTTTCAAGTGTTTCTCCCTTATATAAGTCGAGCTATTCACAAGTTCGTTAGACTTTAAGAGTAAGGAAGAATTATTCGTATACAAAATTATATACTCACGCGAACCGGCGTCCGCGACGTGAACCAGCGCGTCGACGAACGTCAGCAATGCCATCAGCTTCCACACGCGTATATCCATGGTGAAAATGTGATTTTCCGATTTTTACTTCCGCTAAATACTCGATCGGCACTTATGTAAATAAAATAACGCGGCGTTCGTTCAACGGACGCTCATGTCTCCCGGCGACGTCGTGCGCCGACTACTACTGCGGGGAAAAAAACTACATCGTCGTACGAGGCTATTGAGATTTTTCGAAGCAAAAACGAATCGAAGAAGGCAATTAGGTGTACGGATTCGCGTTGTTATCTCGATACATAATATAGTGGGAATCGCGAGGCGGGTGGGGAGGAGCGTGAAGTTTGTATGATCAGTTGCAACTTGTGTTTTCCTTGTTTAAATAAAAATTTAATCCGCGCGACAGCTCTCACGAGAAAAAAAACATCGAGATCGGTCGCAATTAATAATATTTAAGCGCTCGGATTATATACATCAGCGATGGTTATTTATACTACAGAGACGAAATATATAAACATAGTAAAATAATAGCTCCTTGAATTTTCCAATCGTAGCTCGCTGCCGCGTTTCTCAGGTGACAGTCTTGGACGTCTCTGGAAATTTCGGATTGATTTTTCGGCTGATCGTACCAAACTGCGGGATTGACTCGTTCGAAAGCTGCCGTGGCTCTCTGTAAACAAAAGTAATAAAATCATCGTCGTTTTGAAATTTTGAAATCCATCGACGATAAAAATTATGTCTTACGGGAAAAATGACGTCCTGAACCCCGTCGAATTTTCCGTACATATCGAACATCGGAGTTTCCCGAGCGAAGTTGGTCCCGAAGTATCGATTCAGCGTCACGAACATCAAGTAAATTTCTTCCTCTTTGACCGGAAGTATACGATCGCTAGCTAAAATCTTCACATTCAAAGCTGTGAAAAAAAATTCAATACAATCTTCCTATATTATCGTACCGATCCTATGCTGACTTTTGCCAACGGACACGATCTGTCCGTCGAATTTTCTTCCGGGCAGAGCAGTCGATACTGATTGGTGAATATCGTGCGATTGCGTGCCGCGTAGCCCTTGGCCGCCGTGTAATTGACAAAGGCGACGTCGCCGCCGTCCTCGACGAGACATCGAAAAGTTTTCTCGTCGTCCGACAGGTTTGCCTCTGCGACACGAATAAACGCGTCTCTTTAGAAAGAAAATCAATTAAAAAATATCGTCGAACGATATTTACTCGTTCTCTTGCAGAGAGTCGTCAAATTAACGGGAAATTTGCTCTTGTCTACGTCCTGAACGCAACTCCGCTTGAAATAGTTCGTGACGAATCCGACGTCCGAGCAATCGGATCTCTTGCCGCCGATCGTTTTGTTGGTCATTCGGTAATAGAAGGCGTTCCAGCCGACGCTCCTCAAGCCCGTGAAACAAGCTCTAGCCCCCTTCAGGTCCGCGAACTTTTTGAACGACGACTTTTTCCGGACGATCGCCGCGACGACGTTGGCCTCGTCTCTGGCCCCGGAGTGCGGCATCAACTCGATGATGGATTTCAGACCGGTTCTGCAGGATCGATCAATATTAAAAAAAGAAGAAGAATTATGAGCTCGAAGTTTGCAGCTGCGCCTACTTTTTTGCCGCCGAAGCTTCCCGAAAAGTAGCCACGAACATGTGACACACGCCGGTCCTCACTGCTCTCAAGCTGTCGGTTCGGTTCTTCATCGACACGCAGTCGAATCTCAGATTCAAGTTCATGGCGTTGGACACCGTCTTTATCAAGTTACACTTTTTGGCCTCCAACGAGGACGAGACGCACCAGTGAATCGTGCGATCGTAGGTGCAGGTCGAGCGAGCCTTCACCGAAGCGCTAAAGTATCCCGAAACTGCGGAGTCGAAGCAAAATTTTTTCGTGAAAGCTAGAATTTTTTTCCTTCATCGAAGTAAAATACTCGACACCGACAATTAGCCAGATAATCCAGGGCGTGCTGCGTCTCGTTCAACGGCTGCAGATCGGAAAATTTGTAGGACGAATGAACGATCGGATATATCTTTGGATTTTTCAACTTTATTGAAACATCGTTTGCGACATTGCTGCAAATGAGACACGAAAAACATTTTTTTTTTGTTTAATTTAATCGTCCGTCGATAGAAACAGTTTATCGTTGCAAAGCGTTGCGTAGTTTTATTCGTACTTAATTTTTATATTCTTAAGTAAAAAATAAAAACGGTCTACCTTCGTGCGATTATCACCGGTCTGAGATCTTCTATCCACGAGCAAGTCGTATTGGCGACTGAACTGTTCAAACTCGCGAAACGTCCATCCGGACAGAGGAACGTAAAGCCACGTGAGTTAAGATCCTAAAAATGTTCCCTGCATTATAGTAACGATTGTAGTAATAAATTGAAATTATTTACTATAATTTACTATAATTATCAGTTGAATATCGCCATATGAGAATTGTATCTTAATCTAAACGTTATTTTTTACAACGATACGCTAACAGCAAACTTATCATAAAAAATTACATTTCCTGTACATTTTAGTCGCATTTCGGTTTCGATAAAGCTTTTTAAATTTAACATATATACTTAACTAAACAGTAATAAAATGATAAGAAAAAAATCGATTCTTATTTTTATCAACAATAATTAGTTACACGTCGGAGCTATACAGGTATATAAATACATTTTTTTCGCACGATTCTGCTCGTTGAGACGCTCTAGAGAGGCTTATAGTTCACGCAGCACTAGGATGCTCTCTAATGATCGTTTAGTTTTAGCGTCACAGTTTACTACCAACAAAAAATTAAAGACACCGCCGTGCCGATCATCGATGTGCATTTTTAAAATCACCTTGTCTTGAAATATTTGTCCACATTCACAATGATACTTCGGGATAAATTTATTCACCACGATTTTCAGTACTATCGGATGATGTTCGTCGCTGTAGGAGAGAAACTCTTGACAATGAGTACAACGTTTAGCCATGCGTTCGAATTTGTATTTTTCACTCAAATTTACTACCAAGGTTGTACTCGAGCCGTGATCGGGACATTCTAATGAATCCTCAGTTTTCGGTATTTTTTTCAACGGTCGCTGATCAGCCTCGTCGGTCGATTTTCTCTTTAATCTAAAAAAACGGCGCGACACGGAAAAAAAATTGTATAAATCGAAACGAGGACTGATTAAAATCGAAATAAAATTTCGAGTTCTTACCCGCCACCCTCAGTTGGTGCTGGACTAGAACCTGGCTGTTCGCGATCTTGAGATTCCATTTTCATTTTACAAAATTAATATAATAAAGTGTAAGGAGTACGGCGAGTTTCTCTCAGCTTGTGCCACAAAGTAATCGATGCTCAGTACTATCCTGTGTTACTATAGCAGAAGCTTCTTCTAATTTACCTTAGTTTTGTAAGAGAAGGTATATTGGTAACTAAATTTTTCATCTAAATTGACTACAAGAGAGCCCCTAACGTTAACTCAGCAACATTGTTTATTATGATTTTTCAAATCACAAAAGACCAACAATTAGAATCTGAAATTCTCACTCAAGAATAATAACTTTTATGGCTTCTGAAAATCTTGTTCGATCGTGTACATTAAATTATCCTAAAACTGTAGTAGAAAACTTTTCGTCAAAATATGTTTTATTTTACCAAAAACAAATTCGATAATAAAATTTAGCCAGATACATTAGAGCCAGAAGAGTTTTCGCAATGATTGTGAATCTAATTTAGCATTCGTTTTTTTACTTTTATTTAAATATCATTTACAACATTACTATAAATAAAACAAGTGAACTTTTTCAATCGTCAAAATCAAATAAATCATAGATACAAATGAAAAAAAATGAAAAAAAATCTGAGTTCAAACCCGATACGGTTACTTGAACGTATACGAATTTCTTTTTTTTTAACTTAAGTTTTGTTTAAACTTAACATGTTCCATTTAATAAATTAAAGGAATACGACAAATTATACTCTCGACTGATTTCACAATTCAAATGACATTGAGAAATATCTGCTACTGTAAGTGTCTTATCGATTCAATCAAATTACGATCGTAATTAGCTTCGGTTATCGTTGCTTATTTATATCGTTCTATATTAGAGAAAAAAATACTCGATCTCAGCTATGGTTTTCAAATAAAATCGGAAAAGAATCATAGGGGGCATTCAATAAAAATCATTTTTTATCAAACTATGTATTTTAGCTTCTGTTGCCAGAACGCCCTAATGTATTGTTCGATCATAGTTACTCGTCGAACGAGCTTTGCGGTTTGATCGAAATGTAATCGTGAAAATGAAACGTAGATAAAGAGTGCGTTTTTTGTAAAGTTTGTGGGTCAGAAAAATTGTACAACGATTGATTGATCGGCAATATTTTTGGGTTTTATTATTTTATGAACACATAATTTTCGAGTTATATATATGTGTGCTTTAAAGATTAAAAACTATTTCGTAGTTTGATATGATTAATTTTTAATAAAAATTAAATCATTATCTTTAAAATTTCTCAAATATACGCTTAACTTGCTAAAGTAAAGTTAATTTTGCGCACTATCGTAATTATTATAGTTCATTAAGAAATCATAACTGATTCTAATTTATGTCTGATAAACATCTTCTTTTTTACATTAATACACTTATATTAATACGCTAACTATAGACTTATCATAAAAGTTACATTACATGTACATTTTAGGTTGAATTTAGTTATCAATAAAGTTTTTATATTCGCCTTTAAATAGGCATTAATTATATCTTGTTAACAGAAATAAAGTGAAAACAACGAAATAAACTCTTACTTTTATCGATATTAAGCGAGTAAATATTTGGTCAATAAATAAATATTTATCCGCACAAATCTCACTCGCGAAAATATATGTCATTCGTAAGGATGCAGGAAAACTTATAGTGTTTGCACCGGTATGAACCGTGTGCGATTAGACGTTTTGTTATGCCACTTAAGTATAATTGGGCTGGTGAAACATTTTGTATGTGTATAATCAATGTGTACTTTTAAAATCGATATGTTGGTAAATTCCATTCCACACTCATGACAAATACATTTCTTGATTTCATTCTTTACAACTATCACATGTACTAGCTGATAAAACTCTACACAAAAGCCACGATGAAAAAAGCACAAAGTACAATTTCTGCAACCTCTGTTTCGATTGAACTTTTCTAGGCAATTCAAAAGTGATTCATATGATTGACAACATTTACGATGATTTTCCAAAGTTTTTTTCCCTTTTTTCTTGTTATTATTGCCGACCAAGTCCACTTCAATTACTTTTTTATTTACGACGTTCTTCTCTACTTCCATATCAACAATTTCTAACGCAGCTTGTTCAAACAAATTATGTTTAGTATATACTTCATTTGCTTTTTCAGGTTGTACGTCGTGAAATTCGATTAGTTCAGCAATTTCTTTGTCGTAGTTATGAGAAGCTCGTTGAATATCCTCAGAATTATGTTGTATATTCTCTTCAATTATCTTTTCTTTCGTGATGTTGACATTTTTTGGTGGAGCTTGTTCAGCAAGATTAATTTTTCTATTTCTCAATGTCCGGAAGTTTTTTTCCGTATTCACTTTACATTCTTTTTCAGATTTGATGAAGAGGTCTAATTCTACTTTAAAATTTTTAAATTCAGTTATATTTTCATTCTTGATGTAAACATCAGCTTCTATTTTGATCCTTTTTTGCGCAGCTTGTCCAGAGATAATTTTTCGATTTTCGAGTGTTCGAAAGTTACTTTTCGAATTCACTTCAAATTCTTTTTCAGATTTGATGTGGAGGTCTGGTTCTACTTTGAAATTTTTGAATTCAGATATTTTTTCATTCTTTACATAAACTTTGTCTTCTACTTTCACCCTTTTTTGCGTATCTTCAAATTCTTTTTCAGATTTGATGTGAACGTCGGGCTCTACTTTAACATTTTCCTTCTTGAAATTCTCATAGTGGCATTCGACATCTATCTCGATATCTTTATCGTAAAAATGAGAAATTCTTTTCACATCACCTTGGTTTATTTTCAGTGACTTTGCATTTGACGATCGCTCATCAAACGCATCAATCAATCCTCTTTTCACCCTGGGAAATTAATGTAAAAAAACATAAAAATGTATAAATTGAAATGAAAAATAATTCAATTCTAATAAAAACTGAGTTCTCACCCGGTACTATTAGTTGAGTTACTACGAAGTTTCATTTTTTAAACTTCAATTCGTACGAACTTAACACGATCAATAAAAGAAAATTAAACGAATACGACGAGTTATTCTCTCAACTCAAGCCACGATCGAATCGACACTGAGAGCTACCTTTGGCTAGTGTTGAGTAGCAGAGGTATTTGTCTATTTATTTTGTTTTGAAAGAGAGTTTTGTTTTGAGAGAGAAAGGGTATATATTATCCATAAGAGGCATCCATAACATTCATATCAGCTACGTTAAATCGCGCACATTTTATGTTATAATTTTTTAATTCACCAAAGATCAAAAATTAGAATCTTTTCATTCTTTTAATAATAATCATTTTCATGGCTTCAAAAAATGTTGAAGCGCACTTATGAATCGTTCGATTCTGAATTCGAATTGAGTGAGCTGTGACACTCAGTCAGATAATTTAAGAAATGCATTATTTTATAGTTCATTGGTTTTAAATCAGATAAATCTTTAGTTTTTTTACATTGATTAAAACATCATTTGCAACGTTACTGCTAATAGAACACGTAAAAATTTTTAATCGTCGAAAACACATAAATCGATCGCACTTGAAATTTTGAAGTCAAAGTTAATTAGTTTTATAATTAATTTTAATCAATTTATTATAAAATAAACATTATACTTTCTTGCATGAACCCACGAGAAACTTATATTTAGATAGAATGATAAAAATGAAATAAATTCCTAATTATTTCAAAAATGAGAGGGCAAACATTAGCAAGGATCGAGTAACATTTTACGGTGTCAACGTATGAAATTACATCTAGTTGGACCGAAATATTTATGTTATTTAAATGCCCATTGTAAACATGTAATTATAAACTCGACTTGTTTCAACATTTTCATCCGCATTCCCAATAGTAATTCTTGATTTTTTAATTAGCAGTTATTTCCAGTACTACCGGATCATTTTGTACGCTACAGTCGAAAAAGGATAAATCACAGTGGTTACTTCTAAAGATTTAAAACACTTATGAGTGCACTCAAAAGTTTCTTTTCCAGTACGTAATGCTGCTACTAAAAAGGGCAGTTTGTTCAGAGAAATTGTCGTTTTGATTTACGTCAATTCCTTTTTCAGTTTCGGTAAGGACTTTTGGTTCTTCTTCAACAACTTCTAATTGAAGCTTTGCATCGTGGCATTCCAACAGTTCAACAATTTCTTTATCGTCTTGTTCGAAATCCACACATCCCAAGAATTAGTTTGTAGATTTTCTTTAACGATCTTTTCTTTCTTAATGTTGACTTCTAATTCTACTTTGACATATTCTTTTTCAAGATGTTCATAGACGCAATAATTGTAATTTTTGCTTTTTTCTCTTTACCCTGAATAAATCAGTGTAAACCATAAACATTAGATATAAATTATAACGAAAAATAACTCAAACATAATGAAATTCTGAGGTCTCACCCGATACGGTTAGTTGGACGACTACGAATTTCCATTATTTACATTTAAAAGTGGGCTGTAAACTTTACATGATAAATTTAATAAAATTAAAGGAATAAGATGAATTACTCTCAACTAATTTCACAATCCAAAGATACTGAGAAATATCTGCTACTGCAGGGGTATATTGCTCTTATCGATTTAATTAAATTGCACTCGTAGCTTCGGTTGTTTTTGCTTATTTATTTTGTTTTATTACCGAGAAAAAATAATCATAATTAATATTTTCATCTAAATAATGTATGTAAGAGAATTATGACGGTCATCTCCCCGAAATAAATTCGCTCATATTGTTTATTATGATTTTTCAATTCACCAAAGACCAAAAATTAGAATCCAACGAACGTACAATTCGGAGCCAATGAATCGTTTGATTGTAAATACTCATCCACTGAACTCTTAAGTTTACAAAGAATTTATCCTGAAAATGAAATATGACACTAGCATGACTTAGTCGGATAATGCGTGTGTGTTTTGTTTAATAGTTGTCGGTCAGATAAATTGTACACAGAGTTAAGGATCGGAATTTCAAATTTTATTACAACATTTTTTGCAACATTTCTGTAAATAAAACACGAAAACATATTTAATCGTGGAAATCAAAACAATTTATCGCACTTAAAATTCAAGTGTGAAAGTGAGCCTCAAACATTATAAACTATTTCATGGTTTTACATAATTAATTTTTAATAAAAATTAAATCATAGTCTTTAGAATACCTATGCTTAACTTATAAGCTCAACGTGCTCAACGTGGTTAATATGTCACATTTTTTTATGATTATTATAATATTTAATGAATTGTCTATAATATTTAATGAAATCACTTCATTAAATATTATAGATTAAAAACTTGACAGATTTCAGTTTCTGTCAAACATCTTTTTTTTCTTTATAATTACACTAGCGATAAACTTGTCATAAAATTTACATTACATGTACATTTTAGCTTGAATTTAGTTTTCGATATAGCTTTAACATTAAGCCTTTATTTCTGTTTTTATTTTATTTATGTTAAATGAACATATTTTAACCAATGCCAATTTAACTCATAATTTCATCGACAATCAGCGGGTAAGTATTGGGTCGATAAATAAACATTTATCCGCACATGTCTCACTCGCGAAAATTTATGTCATTTGCAACTATGCTGGCGGAAAACTCTTTTTTTTTAAGACTTATAGTGCTTTCAGATCTATGAACTGTGAGGCACCAGTTTTCTTTTCTTGCCAAGACATTCTAATTCGGTTGTTAGACATATATTTGTACTCATCATCAAAGTGTATTTTTAAAACCGATTTGTATTCAAACTTTTTTTCGCATGTACAAATAAAATTCTTGATTATACTATTTTTAGCTACTCCTTGGGCACCTGATCGCAAAAAGCATAAATTACAATTTTGGCAATCTGCACTACGATTGAAATATTTTTTAAAATAATTCAAAAATGATGCAAATAATTGACAACATTCACGATGGTTCTGAAAAGTTTTTTTCGCTTTTTTCTTATTTCCAGTACACACTGCACCCACAATAACTTTTTTATTCACGACGTTCCTTTCTATTTTTATTTCAAGAAATTCCTGTGCAGCTTCTTGAATCAAATTAAATTTAGCATTCACTTGAATTCTTTTTTCAGTTTCTATACGGACTTTTGGTTCTTCTTTAACATTTACTAATTTATGTTTTACATCGTGACATTCGATCAGTTCAGCAATTTCTTTGTCGTCGTTATGAGAAGCTCGTTGAATATTACCAGAATTATTTTGTATATTCTCTTCAATTATCTTTTCTTTCTTGATGTTGACGTTTTTTAGTGGAGCTTGTTCAGTAAGATTAATTTTTCGATTTCTCAGTGTTCGGAAGTTCTTTTCCGTATTCACTTCAAATTCCTTTTCAGATTTGATGTGGACGTCTGGTTTTACATCAACATTTTCCTTCTTGATATCCTTATAGTGGAATTTGACAATATCTTTATCGTCAACATCAGAAATTCCTTTCACATCACCTTGGTTTGTTTTCAACGACTTTCTATTTGGCAATGGCTCATCGTACTCATCAATCAATTCTCTCTTTATCCTATAAAATTAGTTTAAAATAATAAAAGTAAATAAATAAATTAAAGTGAAAGTTGATTCAAATCTGATAAAATCCAGAGTTCATACCTAACACCGTTAGTTATTGGACTATAAGATTCCATTTTTTAACTTCAATTTGTATAAACTTTACACGATCAATACAACAAAATTAAGCGAATACGACGAGTTATTCTCTCAACTCAAGCCACGATCGAATCGACACTGACTGCCTTCGGCTAGTGTCGAGTAGCAGAGGTTAGGCCTATTTATTTTGTTTTGAAAGAGAGAGGGTATATATTATCCATAAGAGGCATCCATAACATTCATATCAGCTACGTTAAATCGCGCACATTTTATGTTATAATTTTTTAATTCACCAAAGATCAAAAATTAGAATCTTTTCATTCTTTTAATAATAATCATTTTCATGGCTTCAAAAAATGTTGAAATGCATTAATGAATCGTTTGATTCTAAATTCGAATCGAGCAAGCTTCGACCTTAGCCAGAATATCTAAGACGTGTATTATTTTATAGTTCAATGGTTGTAGATCAAAAAACTTGCGAATGGATTCTGGGATACATCTTTGTATTTTCTAATTTTATTACAACATCATTTGCAACATTGCTGTAAATAAAACACGACTACATTTTTAATCGTCAGGATAAAATCGCACTTAAAACATTTTAGTGCGCACCTACACACAATAGTTTAACAACACCACCAACAACACCACCAAACAATACAAACTATTACGTTGTTTTTATACACGATCTCGTGTAAATTTCACGTTGAATTGAGCTTTTGATATAGCTTTTAAATTTAGCCTTAATTCAGCATTATTTAATACTTATTTTGTTAACATCCATTATATAACAAAGAAATAAAATTCTTTACGTTATCGACAAGTGGTTAAACATTTATCTGCGCAAGATGAAATTTTTGAAAAGGCTCATAGTGTATCCTGCACTCTTAACTCGAAGGTATCATCTCCCTTTTCATGCCAATAAATTATCACCGGACTAGTGACGATATTCGGGTGCTTGGAATCGATGTGCATATTCAAAATCAATTTCTGTCGAAATTCTTGTCCACATCCACAATAGTAACTCTTGATTTTACGATTTTCGGTATTGATCTGCACTACCAGATTATTCCGTTCGCAATAGTCTGTGCGCATGTAGCACAAATTGCAATGGTTGCAACATTCGTTCATCACATTCAAGTAGTTTAGGCCATTCTTCGATGCTTTATTAGACGTGTAACATTCAGAGACGCACCCAAAAGGTTTACATTTTTTCTTTGTACCTTTAATGCCTCGTGTACGCTTGAATCGAGAAACTTTCCAATCACTATTACGAAGGCCAATTAATTTCGTGTGATTATTTTTTCGGCTCGCTCGGCCTCGATGATTAGTTTTCTCATTCATTTCAATTGTATTTTCATTTTGGATGATCTCGTCTGCATCTACTTCGAAATTTTCTAGTCCAGTCTGTTCAGAGAAACTATCTGTCGTATTCACTTCAATTGCTCGCTCAGTTTTGACGTGAGCTTCTGGTTCTTCTTCAACATCTTCTAATCGGAATTTGACGTCGTGACAATCGAACAGTTCAGCAATTTCTTCATCGTCGTAATGAGAAGTCCATACATCCAAAGAATTAGTTTGTATATTCTCTTCAACTATCCTTTCTTTCTTGATGTTGACTTCGACTTCCAATTCTTTTTTAAGATGTTCGTAATGACGTTCGAACTCGATATACTTCTCGTAAAAATAAGCAATTCTTGTCACGTTGTCCAGTTCGATATCCCAATAATTCGTTTGAATACTCTCTTCAATTATTTTTTCATTCTCGATGTCAACTTCGGCTTCTAGCTCTTTTTTAAAAAGCTCATAATGACGTTCGAACTCAATATATTTATCGTAAAAATAGTAATAGCTCTTCAAATCGTCTTGGTTTGGATCGAAATTTTCATCCGACCATTGCTTATCAGTTTCATCAATCCGTTTTCTCTTTAACCTACAATATTAGTTCAAGATGATAAAAAAAATGATGTATATTGGAGTAGAAGCTGATTCAAATATAAAAAAATTGTGTATTCTCACCTAATATCGTTTGTCGGCAAATCAAACTCCATTTCTGCTCTTTACAATAAAATTACGATAAATACGATAAAATTAAGTGAATACGACGAGTTATTTTCTCAACTTAAGCCACTATCGAATCGATACCGAGAGATATCTTCTGCTAGTGTCGAGTAACCGAGGTCTTTGCTTATTTATTTTGCTGTGTAAGAGAGAGATTACTCGTGCCTTAGATTTTCATCTAAATTATCGATAGGACGGAATTACAGCGCTCATCTCTCCAAAATTAATTCACGGATATTGTTTGTTATAATTTTACGATTTACTGAATTATAATTTACCGCTTTAATGATCAAACAAAAAATTAGAAATGCAAGACACGCTTCACACTGATAATGGCCTAATAACTCTCTGTTTAAAATAATCTAAGTATATATGACCATTAATTGGCTTGTTTTTCGCTATTTTTCTGTTACAATAATGTTTAAAAATATAAAGGGCATTTTAAAACACCTAAAAGTGAAAATTTACTTGTTTAAAAAAATTTAGACCGATTTTCAACCAGCTTAAGTACGACAATATTACTTTCTGCCACTAGATGGCGAGTGCACTTTTATCTGTAAATCTGCAAGTGGGAAAGTCAAAATAAATGTATAAGTCGCAGCACAATGTGGGAAAAAGTTACGTCCTATTTTGGCTAATTTATCTTGAAAATGTTTAACATACTACCAGAGAATGGGTGAAAAAGTAAAAAAGTGGAAAAAAACGTGTCTCACCGCAAAATGACTCGTCACCTCGGCTCGGCTCAACCAGGCGACCTCACCGCTCCTCTGAAAGAGACAATCGACGGCGCCTCGAGTGCCGTAAAATCGATCGTTCTGCGTGCACATCTCCGGACTGCCGCAGAGCGCGCACAGATTTCGGTACTTTTTTTCTGCGATCAAAAATGCGACCACCCCGTTGATTCACAAACCGAAAAAAGTAAAAATATGTGAGAAATTCAAATCCAATGATCTCACTCAGTCGGGCGTCCATTGTCCGATCCATAGACCAGGAGCCCGCGATGCAAGCCGCGCCGAAGTGTTCGGACAAGCTCGCGATACGATTTTCCAGCTCGGTCTTGTAACGATCGCAGTTCCGGGGAAACAGCCAACTCTCGAAGTACTAGAGAAAATTGAAATACATGGGAAAAAAATCCTGTACCTCTTTTTTCTTTTATCAAACTTACAGTTCGGTAGTGAAAATCGTACTCGCGAGCGTCGTCGGGCGTGCCGATGCCCGAGTAGCAGAGCCTCTTGCCCTTGGTCGTCCAATTGGCCTTGAAGCCGCTCTTCACCACGGCTATCATTTGCACGCTGTGCTGATTCGACGCTGAGGGACACACAAAAAAAATTAATTAACAAAACGAATCGAGCGGCAAGCGTCATTATAAAAAATCATCCGAACTTTTGGCGAATCGCTTCAGCACGTGGGTCACCGATAAATCGGACTGATTGCGCGTACGCAGCATCCGCAGATCCTCGGGCTCGGCTACCATGAAATCTGCCTTGCCGCTCGTCAGGTAATTGAAGCACGTCAATCTATACGTAGGTATGTATATTATATATTTTTTGTCACTCGATTACGATATGAATTACCTGTCGCCGGTCGCGATGCACTCGACGCCCAGAGCGCGACGATTGTCGTTCAGTTTCGCGCAGGCTGCTCTCGTCAGGCTCCGATCGCCTCGGATCGGCACGCAATACCTCACTGTACGCAGAAAATAGAAACGATATAGTGATTACACGAGTTGAATGGATCGTTGCTTCTTAGATCGAGTTTTCGCGATATTTACGAGTTCCGGCGTGGACGAGATGATCGGCCATACCGATCAGCAGCGCGAGAAGAAGCGATACCGATTTCATCGTGTGCGTTACCTTTGGTGTACTATTTTCGACTATTCCATAGGCGATCGGGTTGAGAAAAAGAAAAAGACATTTTTTCTTCGGAGTTTCGCGAAAATTAAAAAATAAAAATAAAAAAACGTGAGGCACGATCGGGTTATTGTCGCGGCACGATATCGCACGCGTGCGCGGCCTGAAAAAACAAAATCGTAATAAATCCATTCATCATTTAACGCGCGCGCTCGATCGCGAATGTATATGTCATAATTTTAACGCAGTAATTTGCCGATTAACGCGATCCTATTGTAATCGATCGAAATCTCTCTGAATAAAAATTTCGAGCATCGACGCTGCGCGTCTCGATGTACAAAATTATATTCGGCCGAGTGGCCAATGACCTTGCTAGAATTTTAAAAAAAATATTTATGTAACGTTGCTTCGTATTAGACATTTCTTTCGCTGTATTTACTGTAAAAAAAAAAAAAAAAACTTCAGTCGCTCGCGCGTACATTATTATCTCGTAGACGTTCAACAAATAGACGGTAATATTGAATAAAAAATCGATCGCGTGCGTCATCGATTGTTAATTTTTTTTTTCCTTCGCGATCGCGACGATCGTCCGCGCGTGAAAAACGGGGCGCGGCAAGTGTGTATGTGCACGGACAATCAGCGCCCGAAAATCGCATCGCGCTCGTCGCAGCGTGTGTCTGCACGCGTGCGAAACATGCTATGTACAGATACATCGAACTCAAGGCGTGTGTATCGTATTATAATATATACGCGTTTGAAAATGAATGAAGCAAAAAAGAAAGAAAAAAAATGCCAGAGTCTCCCCAAAAGCGGCGCACTCGTGCCCGAGTTTCTATTATAATCACTGCCTCGTCTGAATTATTCAAAGCTTGTGTTTGTATGCGCGTGTGTGTGTGCGCGCGCGGCAGTGACATATCTTTGATTTTTTTCGTCGTTTTTTTCTTAATCTACTATCGCTCGGCGGCGCGCCCGAGTGTCCACCAGCGGTATATCGAGAGACAGAGAGAGAGAGAGAGAGGCTATATACATTTTATTACACATATCACATCGTCTCAGATGTGTGCGCGATGCAGAGTACGGCGTTGCTACCACGGCTGCATCAGCTCCTCCGACCGCTTCGGTGATATTATGATCTGTTCTCGCTGCTGCTTGGACAATCGAGGTGAGCCTTATATACATAATATACATTTTCTCTACCCTTCTCCGGCTCTATTTTATTTCCTCGGTTTTTTTTAAACGATTGATAATTAACGCAAAAATTCAATTTCATTATAATTATCGCTTGAAATAAAATATCAATTATCAAGCATCGAAGCTGAAGCAGACACAGCAGTAACGAGAGGTTATACACGATGCAAACCGGAACGAGAGACAAAAAAATGTATACGCGTTTATTAAACTAAAATATCGACGTTCGATTCGGTTTTACGGGTTATTCGATCGCGCGCTACATACATCGCTCGTCACAATGAGACACTATTGTGTCTGGATGTTTTTAAAAGTCGACGATGCCACGCGAGGCGTCAATTTTTCAGCTGTTGCTGCTGGGCGAAACGTAAACAGACACTCGGTATAGTGCACGCATCTTGTGTATTATGATTTTACGATTTTCGGAGTCTGTCCGTCGGTTCGTTCGTCCCCCCCGACATGTGTCTGCTCCGCTGCCGAGTCTGCCGGTATATGTCGCTACGATAATCGTGCGCCTGCGCGTATGCGAGACTCGCATGTTTCAAAGTTAGAGTATTTGCCTATTATGCAGTGTCTTTTTGGCGTTCGGTCGGAAGTTGAATCGATACTTAAATTGTGATTAAATTTAAGGACTCGAATCGAGTCTAATTTTTCTACATCATTCTCGTACCCGAAAAAGCGCCTACGTTAAAAAAAAGCTCTCTCGATCATCCGTCACGCCGGGAACAGTAAGCAAAAATCACCGAATTACACACTTCGACAATTGCAACTAATCTTCTCCAACGATCTCTATGTATGCCGCACCTACGCACCGACGCTCGACGATAAGATTTTACCGTACTTTTCGTATCTATATTTGTGAGAGGCTCTCTCGAGGCGCGCGAATTTCTCACTTCGCAATCTCGTACTTACACACTCGTTATAGTCGCGATCAAATTCTGGGCGCAAAAAGAGACGAGATACCGCGGCACAGGTGATATATCAATTGCGTAAATGAGATTTTTCTTTTTTGCTAATATAGAGGCTGACGACGCAGCAGCAGCAGCAGCAGCAGCAGCAGAAGCGCATCACACGCTCGAACCCGTGATCGTGCGTATCGTCGCCGCCGCCGCCACCGCTTCTTGATAATAATTAATACATCGTACAATTATGCGACGAGGTATCGTCATCGCAATCGACGCGATCGCCTGAGAGTGCGTGTGATATACTTCTGGGGATTTATTTGGGAAAAAAGACAAAAAAAATGGGCAGATTCAAGATCAACCGGCAGCAGTTGCCCGTCAAGGCGCATTACTTCTTTTTCATGGCAGGTAAATATCGGCAAAAATATTTTCCATCGTTCTCACTGATCACATGTACCTCCTCTCGCCTCCACACACAGCCATGGGCCCGATCCTGCCCTTCCTGCAGGTCTACGGCAAGCAGATGGGCGTCTCGGCCCTCGTGATGGGCTGCATCAACGCCGTGCTGCCGCTGCTCTATCTGCTCGCCAAGCCGTTCAGCGGCTACCTCGTGGATCGTTTTCGCGGCTGGCGCAAGCACATATTCATGGGACTGTTGGCCGCGACCAGTGGCTGCTTCGTCTTGATGTATCTGCTGCCGCCGTTGAGAGGGCCCGTACTACCCGAGAGCGGAGTTTTCAGCAACGAGAACTGCCTCGACGTCACGTCCTGCACGGCTATGGTGAGTGATGATTCATTTTTTTTTTAAGATTGGACCCTGAGTAAACGAAAAATGTAGAGTTTTTATGATAATTACACGGAGAAACTTGTGTAAGAAAAGGCAAAAAATGTCACACTTTTACTATAAAACATAGTAATTTTTCCTATAGAAGTTTCTTCGCGTATAAATGGTCAAGTGTGTTCGGTTATTGCGATAGAAAACGTATGAAAACTTGATTCAAATATCGATAGATAATTTTTTTTTATAAAAATCATATAAACGATGTACTAAGTATTGATATACAATATCTAAAAATCATTTATAAATCACGGGTCTAATCAAGCGCCTTATATTCATATAGTTTTTATAAAAAGTGAATATCGTTCGTCTATTCAGATTTTATGAAAAAACGTCAGATTTCACGACCTTCACTTTGATGTTCTTATAAGGTCGCTATAGAGCCCTATGGAAAAATATTCAGTAGCAATTTCAGAAAACTGTATTGAAATTTTGATATTTTAGCTTGGTTCTATATCTCCTTAAAATTGTTCAGTTCATACATTTTTTCCTAACTCAAAACTAACTGAAATTTCCATCGGAAAAAATTATATAATTTTTATAAACTCAAAACTAGCCGAATTTTCCAGTCAAAATTGAAATAAAAAGTCAAAATTTGTAGACTCAATTTCCTCAAGGCTACGAATCAACTTTTCATAAAAACTTAAGATTCCTTTCTTTACCTCTTGTCACCCGTGTTCATTTACACACGCTCTTTATTAATAATAATCTGTCCGCTCGGATCGAAGATTACAATATTATATTTATAATATTGTTATACATTATATCGCTCTCGTGTGTGTAACGAGATAAAAACGCAAAGACGTCAATGCGTTACTCGACAAAAAAAAAATCATGCCTCTTTTCCGCTTCGCATCGATCAAACGAACAAACAAACAAACAAACGATCGAAGCACGTGGGTGTGATTTTCACACGATTGAAATGAAAAAAAAAAAAATTTTTTAAAAAAACCCACCCCGCAGAATCTCACGGTGACGAACTCGTGCTCGGACGACGGACGTCGCTCGTCCTGCAGCTGGAACTGCAGCCAGGCCGGGGTCTTCAACGCCTCGATGTACTTCAGCGCCACGGTCGAGGCCAACATCTCGCACACCACGTCGTGCTTCGTCGATCAGGATTATCCGGGGGTGCGCTGCTGGGCCAACGACAGCTGCTCGATACGCTGCGACGACTCGGCCTACGAGTCCGAGTGCGTCTACAGCTCGCCCACCTTCCTCGGTTTCGTCGTGCTCATGAGCTTCGGCCTGATCGGCTACAACGTCTGCAACAGCATCAGCGACGCCGTCTGCTTCGACGTGCTCGGCGAGGGCGGCCAGATGAGCTTCGGCCGGCAGCGAGTCTGGGGCTCGATCGGTTTCGGCATCGCCGCCCTCATGGCCGGCTACAGCGTCGATCTCTGGGCCACCAGCAACACCGTCAAGTCGTACACGCCCGCCTTCGCGCTGGTCTTCGGCTTCGCCTGCGTCGATCTCGTCTGCTGCTTGAATCGTCTGCACCTGCCGATAATGTCGTCCACGGACAGCATCGTCAAGGACGTCTGGGAGCTGGTGAAGATCAAGCCCATCTCCATCTTCCTGTCGTTCGCCACCGTCGTGGGCATCCTCGACAGCTTCGTCATCTTCTTCCTGTTCTGGTACATGGAGGATCTGGCCAAGAGCACGGGCTACACGCACTACATCAAGCTCATCGAGGGCGTGACGGTGTTCGCCGAGACCCTCGGCGGCGAGATCATCTTCTTCTCGCTCTCGGGCAAGATCCTCAAGAAGATCGGCTACGGCTACAGCTTCGTCTGCTGTTTCGCCGCGTACGCGCTGCGACTGCTGCTGATCTCGGTGGCGCCGCAGCCCTGGTGGATCGCCTTCTTCGAGCTGTTCATGCAGGGCCCGACTTACGCTCTGAGCTACACGACGATAGTGTCGTACGCGTCGGTGGTGGCGCCGCCGGGCACCTCGGCCACGGTGCAGGGCATCGTCGCGGGCATCGACGACGGCCTCGGCTTCGCCCTGGGCAGCTTCATCGGCGGTATGCTGTACAAGCACTACAGCGGCATCGTCACCCTGAGGATATTCGCGAGTCTCGCCGCGACGGCCTCCATCGTCTATTTGATCACGCATCTGACCTACCTGAGGCATCTCATGCCCGCGACGAGTGAGTATTAACGATCGATTTTTATAAGCATTAATGAGTCTTAAAAACTAAGGCGATCGCTTATTTAATTTAAAAAATGTCTACAAATGATATTGATTGTTTTTAAAGAGTTATTAAGAGTCATTAAGTGTTGATAAAAGTTTTTAATAGTTTTAAAAACTCTTTTTATCGATATCGATGCTCGTCAAAAATCATAGTGAAAAAATAAAAATTAACTTGGAACTTTCGCCAAAAAATTGAATCTCCACAAGGTTTTATAAATTTTTAAAAACTCTTATTAACTCTTAAAAGTCATTCATCATTTTGTAGACTTTATAAGACTTTCTCGTGAGAAAATTTCCGTCGGGGAATATCTTATAATTGTGATTTTTTTTTCAATTCAGATACTCGAGACAAGACCGAGTGGAAGAGTCCCGAGGAGGCGGCCGAGGTCTGCGTCAGCGCCACGGAGAAGTAAAACAAAAACTTAACGATAATAGCTTAGGAACAAAAGGAGGATGCATCGATGCCTTAATTAATCATTAATTATTACATATATTTTTTAAACTGTACATTAAGTATAAATATTTTAATGTAGAAATGTCGAGTACGATGTGATAATGTATAATTTTTTTTTTTTCAACGCCCGACGAGTGCGTGTGACTAATGTAATCGAGATTCGTTTGTTTTGTAACTCGCGGAGACGCGCGCGAAAAGAGATAGATAGTATAGATAAGTAGACAGCGGAAGAAAGAGTCGAACAAATATTAAATAATGTGTACATGCGTAATAATTTTTATTTTTTTTTTATTTTTTAAGGAAATTTTCACAGAGAGATTTAATAGCCGATAAAAAACAACCGACGTTTGCTCGTATACGATGCTATTTTTATATATATTATGATACAATTGACCAGATTGATACACGCTGGAATGTCTTACGAGTATAAGATAAATAGCCAGAGGTGTCCATTGTCGTGACACCTCGGCCAATGGATTATTATTGTATATTTTAAATTAAAAACTCGAGTTATCGCAACGATCGATCGTTATTTTTTTCATCTCTCAAAACTTACTCATAATACGTTTAAAATTTTTTAAGCTCTTTCTTCAATAAACATCACGCGGAGAGTGCACGATGCAAACTTTGCTTGCATCTGCTTTATTGCAGAGTGCATCGTGTCGTGCGCGCGAAACCGATGCCAGAGCCAGAAACAGCGCAATTTTTTTTCGCGAAGGCCACTCCGCACACGGAGGAGGGAGGGGACTAGATCTATCGTTTTACACGCAAAACGTCGTACTTTTCGTCAGTCCAGTGTCCACTGTCCGAGTGTCCACACACACGGTCGCTCTACGACGCTGCGGAGCGCTAAAGTACCCTCGATCTTGCTTTTTTAGCGCGCGCGGACTCACAACAACATAATTGATTCATAAACACACACACATAAACACACATAAACACACATACACAAACACACGTCAAAGCCGAAACGTCAATGTGATAAAAAGCGTGAAAGTTCAATCATTACATTCGATTTCTAATACACAGACACACACGCATACACAGACAACATAGCTATATCTCATACACATGAGTGCGGAAATTGGAGTTGAGATTGTGGGTATAGTTGCGTTGTTATGATTGCCGAAAGTAATTCGTCGCTGGTCGTGACGTCGTGATCGCAAACAACCATGTACTAATACGACACATGGAAGAGGATACCTGTTGGCGGCCGTGTTACGTTGAATATTATTTAATCGCACCTACGCGCGCGTCTCTTCGCGAGAGCTTTTCAAGTTCAAGGCTCTTCGTTCGAGGAAGCAAGTAAAGGAAAAAAATCAATCTCAACGACCCCAAAATGACGGCCCAAGAGGAGACTCAACAGCACAAGGACGAACAGCAACAGCAACAACAACAGTTACAGCAACAACCCACGTGGGTACAGGGCGAGGGTATGATAATTAACGACGACGACGCCCTGCCCGTGAACGACGACGAGGAGGGCGACGACGACGATCAACGGGTGAAGCTCGACGAGCTGCCGTACGAGATGATATTCAAGATATTCGACTATCTGCACGCCCACGATCTCGTGCGGCTGTCCTCGGTCTGCACGACCTTCTATCAGGTGGCGCGCGACCGACTGCTCTGGGAGAAGAGGAGCCACGATCTGCTCGTGACCAATCAAAAGTCCGACGAGTTCGTATCGAGGTACATATTATACGATGATACATTTTTAATATTACGCGAGACATATATAGCCCAGTGTGTGCGTGTGTTATGATTTACGTAAGGCCAGGTCGCGTATACTCGTGGCACACGTGCTTTAACGTGTAGTATATATATACGAGCAGCGAGTGTGACACATGTGTTTACACCGATATATACGAATACGTTGAGAAACGTCAGAGATACGTATATGTGTATATGCGCCTCAAAAATCGCAGCCCCCCTCGCGTTTATCGGAGCATCGCATTGGCTTTTAACGAAGAGACGCAAAACAATTTTCGTCGACTTATCGAGTTACGCGTTTCGCAGCTGGCATTTTATTATAATACTATTGTTGTTACTTGTATTACGTCCGCGCGTATGTATGTATTCATATGTAGATGAATTGTGTTGCAGCGACGCGCGATGCACTCGTTGGGTTAGCGCCCTTGCCGTACCTATGCACTGTACGATAACGCAGTTACAAGCCGATGCGAGACAAAAACGAGTCCGATGATGCCCAGCCACATTGACTCCGTTTTATTATATAGTTTGACGTTTACGCGGATGGGACCCACTCGCTTGTGGACGAAGGTTATGTTATTGTGTGTGTGTACGTTTTGGCGCACCGAACAGCTGTTCGATCGATGCGCGACGCGTTCTGCGAGTTTTGACAGTTGTATACACTGAATACACATATAAGGTAGCCGGTTCTCCGTTGTGTCGGAGGGATCGGAGTTTTTTTTTTGATTGAACGTGACAGTTGAGCGATAATTAGAAGTTGTAGGGCTGAAACTGAAATGATTGAATAATTACAAGTTAGCTGGATAGAATTTTCCAAATTTGTCTTATTGCTTCTAATGCAATACTCTTAATTTTTATAATCGATCTCATATTTGAGAAGATGAGTCTGAATGAGATAATGTATTTCAGCTCAAATGTGTTATATTTGAGTAAGATGATCATCAATCGTTTTACTTCCTAAAGTAATTTCAGTCTTCTATAGCTACTCAGGTCTCTTTCAAACTTCAACGAATACCTCAAATAGTAAAAAATACCAAAGCTACCTATTTAATAGAGTTTCAATGAGATCTAGGTATTGAGTTAAGTATTTCTTTAAAGTCTTCAACTAATTTCCAAAAGGCCTTCTAAATCCAAATCACGCATGACATAAGACTTGAAATAATATGACAATTTAAGAAATCACTTTCTACATTATGAGGTATTATTTGGAATTTTTTCACATCGGTCCGAGTTGAACCCAGAGGTGATATCATAAAAGCACTGATTTAGAATATCATTCATTCAGTAATTACGTGTTGACTTAAAGTGATCTGTACCTCATTTCTCTAAAAAGCTCAATGGAAACCTTAAAAACATTAATTATCTTTTTAAGTAAAAGTTTTAAAAAACTTGTTTAAAAATTGAATCTGCATTTTCTTCCAAAATGACTTAAAAAATCACACGTTCAATTTTGAAATCTCGTCGCACTATATAATTACGTCTTATTTACGCCCATGCGTTTATACAGATGCAATCCAGCCCTGGACTCGGTCACCAAGTGGCAGGTCTCGCACAACTGGATGAGCGGCTGCTTCGACACGGACATCCTCTCCTCGACGATCTTCAAGGTGATGCCGTGCATCAAGCTGACCCGCGACGTGCTCTGGTGGGCCGGCGGCAACATGATCTATCAGTTTCCGCGCAGCAGCGAGAACGGCGGCTCGGTCAACAAGAAGCAGAAGTGCAGCGTGTACGTGCGCGACACGGGGAGCGACGTCACCAAGTTCGTGGTGGTGCGCTCGGGCCAGATGATCGTCAGCGGCCATCGGGACGGCGCGCTGCGCCTCTGGCGCACCAATCCGGCCGAGTGCCTCAAGATGAAGAACAACATCATGCCGCTGTGCACGCTGCCGGCCCACTCGAGCGATCTGGGCAGCGTCGCCGAGGCCAAGAACCAGGTGCTGTTCACGGGCTCGAGGAACGGCACCGTCAAGGCCTGGGAGTTTCCCCACGGCAGGGTGGGCAAGGTGGCGGCGCTGCCTCTGGAGACGTTCCAGCGCAACGACTGCATCTGGTCGCTGGCGACCGATCCGTCGGGCGACAAGCTGGCCATCGGCACCGGGGGTAACTTCAATCCGGCCCTCTACGTCTGCGACACGTCCTCGTGAGTATTATGATATATAATGTGTGTAACAACGACGATTTTCCGCACTATTCTTTATACCGATTTTCACTGTACATAGATTCCAACGATCGCACGAGATCGTCTTCGAGTGGAGAGGCCGTAACGCCGGCATACTCGACATGGTCTGGGAGAATCCTCAGACGCTCCTCACCTGCGGCTACGATACCTGCGTCCGAAAATGGGACCTGAGGTACGCGTAACGATAATTATTGAAAAAAAAAATTATTAACGATGATGAAATTTTACAGAAGCGGCCGATGCGTGAGCGCCTGGTCCGATCCCACGGGCGCCGCGGTGTTCTGCATCTCGACGGATTACAACTTCACCATGGTCACGGGCTCGCAGTTCAATTGCAAGGCCGTGCTCTGGGATCAGCGCAAGCCCGACTTCAATCAGCTCTACTTCATGCATCTGCGCCGCATGTGCAGCCCCGTGTACAGCATCGCCTTCGACAGCTGCCACCTGTACGGCGCCACCGATCAGAACTTCGTCGAGCTCAAGTTCGCCGGCAGGCCGAGCACCAAGAAGAACTTTCGCGACATCATGAATTACGCCGATTGAATTTTGTAAATTTTCCCTCTCCTATCGATGATCAATCGCTTAGATTTAATTTTCTTTTTTTGTTAAGAGTATCAGTATTTCTTAGAGAAAAAAAATGTCTCTTCTGAATCTTTTTCATTCGAGCGTGGTTGATCGTTCAGTTTGTTGTTACACAATTGCTATTTTATTATTATACCTGATCTCTCTGTAAAAACACGATCACACGTCCCCCCGGATTAGCTATGTACCATATGCGATGTATTTTGTCTATTTCGAATAGTTGAAAGCGAAAGAATGTGTATAAATATATGAGAGAAAGCGAAAAAAATAGAGCGAGGTGTTGAAAAAAATTTTGTTAACAATTTATTGTATACAATATTATTAAGATGCAAATGGAGATATAAGTGATCAATGATGTAAATTACATTTTTCGTATAAAATATCTTCTTTCCACTAAAATATAAAAATATCAATAACTTTATTGGACGTTCCCCGTAAAAGGCGCCAATTCCTTCGCAAAAAAAAAATTAATTAAATAATAATTAAACATTTATATATTCGTAAAAACAACAAAACGAATATTGCATTTGCTTCAGAAACTTCTGGATCTTCGTAAAGCTTTGCCGCGTGAAAACCAAACCCCGAATTACAAGCTTTAAGTAACACCTTATAAGTTCTAAAGATTTAATTTTCTCATTTTTCTTTTCTCCTCTCGTTATTGAAAATTGCAGAAAAATTATACGTAATGCGGCTTAACGGAAATCTTTATCTTTAAATTGATATATACATTTTTAAACTTTGTCAATGTATTTAACAATTTTACAACAGCAAACTTTCTCAAGATACAATAGTACTCATCTGTATGACAATCTTTCTCTCTACAAATACTGCTTAAACACAGTAATGAAAGATTCTTGCAAAAGATGGAAAAATTCTCAACAGATTTCCTAAGTTTATCCAAATAATTTATAAATAAAAAAGCTCGATTAAAAATATAAAATTCAAAAAATCAACCAACGATGAAACGTCGATCTCGCACACATCATTACGTATAATTTTTCAATCAAAAATATCGTCTATCCCGCCGCTGCTCGCCGTTCAAATCATGCTTCTGATCATGTAGTTCAGAATGCCGCCGTGCTTGTAGTAGGTCAGATCGACCTCGGTATCGAATCGCACGATCACCTCGAACGAGGTGCCCTTGTCCGTGCCCACCCGGATCCTCTGGCCGGGCTGGCAGTGCTCGGGCAGCTCGATGTCGAATCTCTCGTAGCCGGTCAGGCCGAGCGACTCGGCCGACTGGCCGGGCAGGTGCTGCAGCGGCAGTATGCCCATGCCGATGAGATTGGAGCGATGGATGCGCTCGTACGACTCGGCGATGACCGCGCGTATGCCCAGCAGGTAGGGCCCCTTGGCGGCCCAGTCGCGAGACGAGCCCGAGCCGTAATCCTTGCCAACGAGGGCGATCAGTGGCGTGCCGTCGTTTATGTACTTTTCCGACGCATCGAACACGTCCATCTATAAAAAAAAATGTATGAAATGTGTCCATCCATCTCGTTCGTACGTAATATTAGATCATAGAATCGATCGGTTATTTACCTCTTCGTTGGTGGGAATGTAAATTGTTCTTGGACCGGGTCTACCGATAAATTTGTTCATCAGGCGAATGTTTGCGAAAGTTCCACGTGCCATGACGGCGTCGTTTCCTCGCCGAGAGCCATAAGAATTGAAGTCCTTCGGATTCAGACTGGAAAATTTCCAAACATTTCAAATTTCAAAATCGAATCGCTCTCCATGGGTAATACAGTCGAGAAAGAAGAAAGGTGTCTTACCCTCGCTTGGACAGATACCGCGCGGCAGCCGAGTTGCGCGCTATGCTACCGGCCGGACTGATGTGGTCGGTCGTGACGGAGTCGCTCAGAAACACCAATACGCGAGCATTCTTTATGGGTTTCACGGCTGGCACCTCCTGCAGCGGAATAGAAAAGCAAAAAAAAAAGTCATGAAAATTTATCCCTGACTCTTAAAGCGACGATCTATCTAAATCGATAAACCAACCCTGGTCAAATTTTCAAAGTACGGCGGATCTTTGATGTAGGTCGAGGTCGGATCCCAGGGATAGAGCTTGCCCTCGGGCGCCGGTAGCTGCGACCAGTTCTTGTTGCCGGTCTCGATCTTGGAGTAGACCTCGCGGAACATGGCCGGTATGACGTACTGCTGCTCGACGGCTTGGATCTCCGAGCGGCTCGGCCATATGTCGCGCAGATAGACGTCCTTGCCGTCGGCGCCGACACCTAGTAACGCAATTATATAATTATAACGAGGATGATTTTGTATTTTGAGGGAGAGAAGCGAGACACGCAGATGCACGGTATATTTTTGGCTTATTGTAATTCGATCGCTTTACCCAGTGGCTCGGTTTCAAAGTCGATGTCGACGGTGCCGGCGATAGCGTAGGCTATGACGAGCAGCGGCGAGGCGAGATAATTGGCCCGAGTGTTCGGGTGGATTCGGCCTTCGAAGTTGCGATTTCCGGACAGCACTCCGCAGCAGACCAGGTCGTTCTGTAGTTAAAAAAAAACAGAGAAAAAAAATTAGCATACAGTCGAAGAACGTCAATCCAGACCATCGACGACGACGACGACGAACCTTCTCGATGGCGTCGACGATGGCGTCGGGCAGCGGCCCGGAGTTGCCGATGCACGTCATGCAGCCGTAGCCGACGAGGTCGAAGCCCAGCTGGATGAGGGCCGGACAGACGCCGGACTCTTTGAGGTAGTAGGTGACCACCCCCGAGCCGGGCGACAGCGACGTCTTGATGTAGGGAGCCACCTTGAGACCGGCGGCGCACGCCTTTTTCGCCAGCAGACCTGCGAATCGGTCGTTGCGTTTGTTATAATTCGTTTCATGAGAATTATGCGTGTAAAAGAGGAGACAAAAAATAACGTCTATTTCTTTCGTTTCGAAATTAGGTCAGACGCGTGAATATAGACGACACGAGTATAGTCCCCCCTCGTGATTTCCATATCGGGCATGTTTTCTTTTCAAAAGAAAGAGCATAATCTAGACGATGTTAGGGAATAAGTTCGATCGTTCGAGCATGAACATGTCTTCATTTCTTATATCATCATTTGTTTTAATAGAAAATCAAATTCTCGAAATATAACGTTGGTTTTATTTGTTTCTCGAAACGATGGTTTTATTTGTTTATACTTACGAGGACCGAGAAGATATTTGCGAAGCGAAAGATATTTTGATTTTGATATACCACATAATTCGAAATCAAATCGCAGGACTTCGAATTATGTGATTTCCATTGCAAATCATTGAAAATCATCTTCGAATACAGCACACGCTTTTGTGCCGTTTTTTTATCTTATCTAATTAATCCAGACCATTTTTTTATTGTCTATTACACGAGGCCTTGCGACATCCAGTCGGTTTAATTTATCAAACGAATTCTCGACCAGATTTGACAGACAATAAATAAATCCTTTTTCTGTTTGTTGCAGACGCTTCTTATTCTGAGCTAATTAATATAAATGCAATGAAAATTGAAATACCCCGCCTATAATCATAATATCTAACGATGGATATTACTATCTTAATTATGTAATCGAGCGTGATATTATTTCACCAGCCCGACATGCCAATAGATATCGTCTAAAGTAAAGCCCAAAAAAAACTCCGGAAGTCTTTTCCTGCGTTCCGTAATTCGGAGGCAGTCATCTGTCTACGTCACACGCCCATACACGTACAATTGGACGTGTAGGAAAAAAAAAACAGAAAAAAGAAAGTGCGTATATCTCATACCTGCTCCAAGCATGACACTTGGATTGCTGGTGTTTGTACAGCTAGTGATGGCGGCGATGACGACCGAGCCATGCTTGAGTCGGTAATTCTTGCCCTCGTACTCGAAAACGACGTCGGCCTTGATCTTGTCCGGGCTCAGTCCGTAGCCCTTGAATCCGACCTGTTGAGATTTTTTTCAAAGTTTAAAAACTTGGTTTTTTTTCGTATACCTATATAAGTTCATCGTGATAATGTATATAATTTTTCATCGTAACGATGTAATATTACGTCAGACAATCGAAATAGCTTTGGAGAAACTTTACGGAAAGATTTCGAAAAATATTGACGCGTACGTGTTATTATTACGTATATATAATATTATATATCGGCCACTCACGGGATTTGACTTTCGATTTCTCCTCGCTAGAATGAAAATAGATCCAAGTTCAATGTCAGGGCCCCCCGCGCGTCGTTGCGTGTGCATATGCCCGCGCACGCGAGAGAGGAGAAAAAGAAACCGAAAAAAAATTCGTTGCGCGCTCGAAATTTCGTACAATTACGTTTCGATTTCTTCGCGTTAGAAGCTCGCGAGTTCGTGTTTCGGATTTTTCATAGATGCTGACCACAGCGCACGGGGTCAATGTCCAGTTTTTAATGCAGGATTTTTGCCGATTCGCTGATATTCAATTCGTTTTATTATTATAATACATATCGCGAGTCGCGCGCTTGCATATTATCGAGTAGCACGAAACGCTACCGCGCTATCTTCTTGTGTCAAAAAGAAGACCAACGGGCTTTTGTCTAAAACTACTACTGCCTATTTACGAGAAAACCATTTACGAATGTATTCATTAGACGAAAATGATAAAGGCTGATAGCGCTGTATATTTAATCGACCGCATCGAACGCCGCTCTTATTTTTTTTTGAAGTTCATTGACTCTTTCGAGCAGATACATCATCGAGACATTGCTTCTTTTTATTTTTTAAAGGTAAATCGAACTTTGAGTGTTGGACGATCGATTTAATTCGACAAAGAAAATTATCGTCACATCGTACATAGATTTTCGTATTACGCTCATCTTACGTAATAACAAAGCGAGGCGAGCACTGGATCTAAAGGGGGCCTCGTCGGTGTGTGTTTACAAATTTTCAATGTACAATACAAAGAGATCTGCTTAGCTATACGGCGCGAATAAATTTAGCCACGACAGACGCGCGTATATAGACAAAATTTCACGAAGAAGAATTTTGGTTCGATATAATATTTCAACGAGCGATCTCTGTATGAGCCATACAGACGCGAGAGGTCGATAAACTTTTTCGCGCGTTCTCGAGTCCGCGGCCCATTGTGCGTATGTGTCTATACATACGGTATAAACATACGCGTAATATACATACGAGCCTCGAAATTTGACGATGAGCGCGCGTAATACACACAAGTTCGAAAAGTATACACAGTTTCAATAAATCTCGAAATAAATAATTATTCTCGTCGAAGCGAACGAGATCGAGCCTACGTGTAATATCAGCACTTGTATAATAACAACAAAGTGAAATAACTCGCTCGAGATCGCGCGAGGCGCGATTTTATGTATAGACAGGGAGAAACGTGATATTTAGCCCGCGCGAATCAGCGATTTTGTCGATCGTCTTGATGACAAAAAAAAAATGTTGCAAGCTCCGCAATCGTACGCGAGCGTATTAAACATATTACAATGCTGCACGACGTGGAAAAAATATTACTAATTATTATTTTACAGTTCCTCGCTTCTATACACGTTATCGGGCGAGCCGAATTCTCAAGTTTAGACCGGTCTCGCGTCTGTGTAACGCGGTTCCTCGAATCTATAATAATTGACGAAAACAGAATCTAACGGCTTCGAGTGTCTTTTTTCTAATTCGGAGAGCATATGTGTGTGTGTACTTTCACTATATGTAGTCTCCTTTCACCCGCGTTCTTTTATTTTTTCTCACGAAAATTTCGTGTCTCGCGCCCAGCTGCTGCTGCCTGCTGCTGCCTGCTGCTGCCTGCTGCCTGCCTGTCTGCCTGCCTGCAGCTTGCAAGTTGTATGCACGTGTGCTTATACATGAAAATGACTAGAAACGAAGAGAAAAAAAAAATATTTACGCCGCGGATCGAAAAACATCCGCGCTCGTACGCACTTATCATCCGCGCGTGTATGTACACCTATTATCGATGCCTCGCGCGCGAGAACGGATGTAAATCGCGCGTATACATGTAGTATATCGATACACGCATATATATAGGACACGTTTTGTTCTTCCGATGCTCTTTGTACGCGAGAGAGAGAGAAAGAGGCATAAACACGTGTGCGCCGCGTATTAGTACGACGCGCGATCGATCGTTCCAACGCGATTGTTTATATCTTGCGCGTGTGCGTATACAACTGTATACTTTTTTTTTTTTTTGCTTTCGGCAACTCTAAACGCGTAAATTTTATTTCAAGTATATAATACACGCGTAGTCGTATTTATTTGCGATTTGATTTTTCAAGTTCACGCGCGCATCGTCGTACATTAAATACCGGGTGCGTGCGTGCGTGCGCTTCGAGACATTTAATTTTTGCCCGTATGCGAAAAACGCGCGATACGTTTTTCAAACTTTGAATGATACATCTCATCGATGTCGAGAGATACGCAGGCATTTTTCGTGATACAAGTATCAATCGAAATGAAGCGAAGAAACAGAGAGAGAGAGAGAGACGCGTTATATTTCTCATACGCCCTGGTGTGCCTGTTATTGTTTTGCCTATGTAAACGCTCGATCGCCAAACTGATTTCGCATATTAATATATATTTTTATCTATTTGTGCAGACGTTAGTCTCTCTCTCTTTTTTTTCCTCGATATACATATCATCTACGTATGCGCGTTAAGCCACGCGCGCGTGCAGTAGTAATACCTATATACCAAGAAACATTTCCAAAACAGAAAAGAAAAGAAAAAAGGAGAACTTTCGAATCTCGTTATGCTGTAACCCAAAAAAGTAAAATCCTAGTATAGGCGTCATCGTAACTATACGTATTCTACTACATAACTATATATAAACGATCAACAGGTCGGCAGCCGCGCGTAGATGCCGGCCGGCTTTTCGAGGCATATGTAACACACGTTATTCCGAAAATACCGAGCGAGCGAGAGAGAATCTCCACTCGAGAATTGTGACGTAGTTAATATACTACTACTCATACGCGTACCTACACACATGCCGCGCGCGTAAGAGAGAGTCCCGTATGCAACGTATAATACGTGGGAGCTAATGGTGGGACGTGCTACCGCACGTTGCTAGAGGCCGCCGGCATATAAATACGGGTGTCGCGTTTAGACCCGGACACAGAGCCAGTCGTTCGCCGGCAGCGGTAACATCTCCGTATCGTTCATTTTCATAATACTCATTGTAATATACCATATATCTCGCGCTCGCCTCGCAGTTAATCTCTCCGGCTTTTGAATTCAAACTCCAGCAAGTGTGCGCGCAACGTGTCCGTACGAGTTTTCGGCCGTTTTGTGTGTTTATAATCAACGTTATAAAATTTTCTCCATGCATCGCGTTGATTTGTTATATTTTTCAAATTCCGAAGTGTAGCATTAGCGAGAGAGAAGGTGTTCAGTTGCCCCCGCGGTTAGCAGCAGTTGCTTACGTTCGCGGAATTCTGTTTTTTTTTTTTTTTTCACTTACTCATCAGCGCCGTCGATCGAGCTGTTCATTTCATTTTTCATCGGGCACGCAAAAGCCCGGTAATCTACGTTTTATATATTATCCAAAAGTTGAGATCGAGTCGTTAAGTGAAATAATTCCTGGTCGGGTGCTATGAACTACTATATTCATTGTTTTATCATTATCTATCTCACCGGGTCTGGTTTCACTCAATGCTGATCTCTCGACGCGACATCAGCACAAAAAAAAATTAAATTAAATCATCGCCAAGTGAGTATAATACAACTCGGAAGAAAGAAGAAGACGACGACGAACAACCACCACCGCCAAGGAGATCATCGTCCTGATACCCTCCCGTTTTGAGTGAGAGTGCTCCGTTTAGTCCCGTCAATTTTTCAATATTCGTGACTAGATTGAACACTCGCGTCTCAGAGCGGGCCGAAGCAACGATCGTCGTCGTCGTCTTTTTTACGGAAGGAAGAGGAAGCGACAACAAACCCGGCCTCTGAATTTATCTTTGGTGGTCTAGCTATATGATAGGAATACGATATTTCATAAAGCTAGAACAACAAAGCTAAGTTCTAAGGCATATCAACACCGTGCAGCAGTGGCAGCGACAATGGATTTTCATAGAGTTAAAAGAAAAAACAAAAAAACAGCCTTAGGAGTTAGATACTTTGACTGTGGTGTATTACTTTGGAAAACATATATCACAGCCTTAAGTATTTAAATTCTAAAGCTGCTTCGCATCGTCCAGGAAGAAAGAAGCAAGTAGTCAAGAAAAATCAAAACGCCAACGAAGAATTTCTACACACACACATTACAAGTATTACGTGAGACGAACGTGATCCTGATTGGCGCACAAAAGTAATTATCGTCACTGGGTTATGTTTGTCCCACTCACAGTACTTTTACCAGCATTAATTATTAACTCAAAAAAAAAACCAACGTTCAATCGACATATTCAATACTGCATAATGTATCTTGCGTTACTCTTATACAATATTATGAATCTGAACATATGCCTGCTTCCTGAACTTGAACCATCACCATCTCTGTAAATCATGCGTACTCACTTTGTTCGTAAGGCATGCATTGAAATCCCTCTTCATGTCGACGACGGAAATTCTGTCGTGAGGTCGTTTGGGCCCGCTGACACTGGACACAACGGTGGCAAGATCCAACGTAACGACCTCGGAAAAGATCGGGTCCTGGCTTGGATCGTCATAGTTTCTGATCAATTTTACAGCTCTCAGATACTTCTCGATTCTTTCAATATGCTCCTCGGATCGGTCTAAAAAAAAAAAAAAAAAACAATGAGAGAATGAATTGAATGACGACCATGAATGCCGATGTTCGAATGAAAAAATTATGCACGTTTCTCGAACTAACTTGTTTGACGAAGATAGTTCAAGCTTTGCTGATCGACAGGGAAAAAGCCTATTGTAGCTCCGTACTCTGGACACATGTTGGAGACGGTTGCGCGATCGGCGATACTCAACTGCGCTACACCCGATCCAAAGAACTCGACAAATTTTCCAACGACACCAAGTTGTCGCAAGTTCTATTTTGACATGAAAAAATAAGATTTGCCATAGCTCAGTAAGTGAAAATAGATGTTAATCACTAGCAATCTTAGGTTACAGTTTAAAATTTACCTTTGTGATAGTGAGTACAAGATCAGTCGATGTAACATATTGATTGAGCTTTCCGACCAGTTTATAGCCAACAACTTTAGGTATAAGCATAGATATGGCTTGACCAAGCATAACAGCTTCTGCTTCGATTCCACCCACACCCCAACCGAGTACGCCAAGACCATTGATCATAGTAGTATGAGAATCAGTACCAACTACACTATCGGGGAATAGATATGAGTTCATATCGAAAACCACTCTGGCCAAGTACTCCAAATTTACTTGATGTACTATGCCACTGCCAGGAGGTACAATAAGCATGTTTTCAAAAGCTTTAGCACCCCATTTCAAAAACGTGAAGCGCTCTTTGTTTCTTTGAAACTCAATTTCTTCATTTTTTTTCAAAGAATCCTCGCTATAAGTTTAGATAGACATTTAAATTTTAAGTCAAAATATTGAAAGCAGAATTATTTAAGATTTTGTCTTACCTTCTGGAGAAATCAACTTGAACAGAATGATCAATTACTAGATCTGATGGGCAAACAGGATTGATTTTATCTGGATTACCGTTAAGTTTTTTAACAGCATCTCTCATGGCTGCAAAATCTACAACTGCCGGAACCCCAGTAAAATCCTGAAATAAAACAAATTGAATTATAGAATTTTATAGCAATAAATAAAAAGCATATCCATTAATATGTGTGATAAAAATTATTATACTTTGAAAATTTTCAATATTTTCAATGTAGCATATTAAAAGTTATTGAAAACATAACAGAAATCACTTGAATAAATAATAAATTGTACCCAAATCTTGAGCATAACTTTTGGTTATCAAAATATAAAGTAATTTTCACTATGTATTTTTCTCCTTGCAGGAATAACATAAAAATTGGTAAATTACAAAAAAAATAAACTAGTTATCTTTAAATAACTATCTAAGATCAGTTTTAAAACTGTTAAGATAATATTGTTTACAAAATAAGGACACTTGACAAGCTGTACTTAACCAGTGTCGTCATAACAATTTGTCAAAATCAGGATTAAATAAACGCAACTGATAATAAATCATATAGCATTGCTACATTAATTCATTTACAGATTTATTATAAATAATGCTAAGCTAACTCAAGGTAGCTGCAAACTTTTATCAGAAAGCACGATCTACTGCACGTACTAGATTAACAATCTTTGTTATGCTTTCAATCAAAGTCTCGAGTGTGCTTAGAGAATAATTTTTCCATTTTACTACTCCTCATTACCTGAAGAATCACTCTGGCTGGTTTAAACGCCACTTCGACGCCCTCCTCAGACGCCTGATTCTTTTCCCAATCCAAGATCTTTTCGACATCCTTGCTTTTAACTTGAAACTCATCGCAGTTTCTCACGGCGCTCTCTAACAACACCCTTATGGAAAAAGGCAATCGATCTGTAAAAATGTAAAGTTTGTGTTTATCAAAGAAGCTTCTTTCGACTGATTCGAGATGATCGTTACAAAGTTCAATTACCGTATCTTTCACCGAAGGTGGTGATATCAAAATATTTCTTCTCTTGGCCTGCAACCTCGACAGTCCGGAGCAAGTTCTTGAAAGGATTTTCTGCTGTAAATGACAGAAAAAGTATAAGTTCAGTAGATTCGGATCAACGCATTAGCATGGGTCTGCTGCTCGAGGCGAATTATTTGCGTAAATAAGTCTCTGTATAAATTAAAGCAGCGAATTTGCATGTCTAAATGATGAAAGAAGCCAACTCATTGTGGTCACACGTACGAGTAGACAAACAGTTACTTGTTCTTTATTTTTTTTTGCACACGGCACAAACGTCGTCTGGGCCGGTGACCCGAACGATCGAAGGGACGTCTCATAAACGAGAGGACATATGCACGAAAAGTCATCGATCGAGAAACTCCGATTTCTCTACGCACACCAGAAGTACTTGAAAAAATTGCTCGCTTATCGCGCACGCGGCCACGATAGGGCAAAAATTCGGGCTCGAGAAACGCCTCGAGTTTATAGGCACACACACACACACACACACGATCGAACTCGTACCCACCTCGTTACGTGGAGCAATTTAAAAAGGAAAACAGAAGAGAAAACACACGGACACTTTTGCGTATGTATATCTACTATAGGCGCAAAACACTTACCAGCCATGATTGTCAACGATGCAGTCACGTCGGCCACTCGCTTCGGTCTCGCGCGACTCGCGGAGGCGCAGAGAGTATATATGCTGTATATAGAGAATCTCGCAGTCCGAAGCGTAGTCTGCAGTCGCACACCAAATCGAAGCGTATAAGCAAACACATGCAAATGTGTGTTTTGTACGACACGCACTGCTGCTGCTGCTGCGACTCGATGCGATATAATGTGTATGTAATGACGATGTGTGCGTGCAGCGTCGGTATATCGGAACGGTGCGTTGCAATCCGGTGCAAATCTAATCTCTATGTATAGGTATACAAGCCGCGCGAGTGTACACACGCAGACAGACGTCCAGCTAAAAACTATAAGTCGCAGCGTGCGCAGAAGCAGTAGCGACAGCGACTGATTGGTGGCCGGCCGTATGGCGGCGGCAGCGTGTACATACGAGGTATATAAAGTGCCTATTACTACAATGCTCGTATACCCCAGCAAAAAATTTTTTTTTAAATAAAGTAAATAATAATGTTGTGAACTGTAATAAAAACTGAAAAAGTGTAAAAAAACGTAAGATCACTAACGATTTCGGATATGTGATACGTTTTTCTATACTTTTTTACTTTCTATTACAGTTTATTACATTTGCTTACCGATCATTAACGAGATGATAAAGTTAGACGAGAGATAAAGTTACATGGAAAAAGTAAAAAAGTGTAAAAACATAAAATTCTGTAATAATAATTTTAAATGTTACAATTTTTACTTATGAGTTTAAAATTCTAGTCAAGCCCGCATGTAATCGAATTGACCGCAGCAAGTGATTTTCGTGAAAAAAGTGAACTCATTCGAACGCAGCAGAAAGCCTTATAACATCATCATAGACGTACCGAGGAGTACTGAGATGACTGAATTTTGTTTATATACATATCCATCGTGATTTGTCTTAATTTATTCATAAAAAAAAATGATTTTTTTTCACGAAAATCACTTGCTGCGGTCGAGCGATCACATACGAATAGCACACGTAAGAAATTGTAAACAGATGTAATATTATGCTGTCAAATTGGGTATATTAATTTACTCGTTATTTAAAAAGTTGCGTATCTCGATCTTCAAAAAAGTTATGGGCTACCCAAGAAAGATGTTGACTTGGATCACTTATAGAAATTGTGTAAAAGATCAGCAAATTTTCCTTCGAGTAATTTCTATAAGAAAAAAAAAGAATCTTTCGAATGGCTCATAGTCATCGGCCGTAGTTCAGTCATATATTAATCGTATAAAAAACCATCGAAAAGATTTAGCAGTTGATGAGTAGAGTTACTTGACGCAATTTAGGCAGTTGAAATTCGATATCGCAACTGCGTAAAAAAATACGCATTAGATCTATGAATCACGTGTCTTTCAATTAAAAAATTCTTCAGCTATTATTGAATAAATCGAAGTTTGTAACGGTTTTAGGGCCCAACAATTTGTAATATCGATATTTGTAAAAATTACCGAATGAATATAAATTATGAAACTATTGATCAAAAAAGTTAATTTATCTGTTCGAAAAAGTCAATTTTCCATAAACAAATTAACACCGTTGAAAAGGCGACGAAGAAATACACAAAAAACGTGTCTTTTGTTTAACCGTTCATAATCGAGTTGAAAACTTAGTAATTGAGCGTGACACTGGTTATATTATTTATATTTTTCGAAGTAGGTAGGGGTATCACAACGAATTTGCGCGTGTTTAAAAGCCACCCTGTCCTGTCTTTTCAGTAGGAACAATTTATTCGTAGTTACAATGTCGATCGTGAAATTGAGCGATTCTCAGGTAACAGAAATCGCCAAAGAGCGGTTTATTCACCATAGTCGACATTATGAAAACATAACGAATATTCCTAACTTAAGAAAAAACGTACTTGAAGCACAGGTGAGGAGTATGTATCTCCGAAACTTGATCTTTTCTGGTTTGGTTTGCGAAAATTTAGTCATACACCATCTACATAGTAACGTATGAACTACTACCTGACAAGAGAGTTAAATCGCTTCAGCTCGATACATTAACGTTTGGTATTGTTCGAGCATTTTTGCTTTTCGTTTGATGCAAGATTTGTAATTAAAAATCATGAAATAAGAGTCGTCTTCAAGTCTTTAATTAAATATTCACATGCTGGTCAGATTAAATGAAGTAAATTTACTGTATTTTTAATATTAGTTTCATTCTAAAAATTAATTAACATAAAAGACATTGGATTTGTCCGAGTAAATTTGGTAATTAAGGTAATACCGGTAAAGGGAGAGAATGTTACGCATATCTCATCGTTCGACACGTGTTGGACGCGAGCAATACAAGTGACTACAGGAAGCGGGGCTGTATTGACGTCAGAGTCAGGATTGTAACATTATGGAACAGGATCATTGACGACCACTCAGATCTATCCAAGTATATTATATTCCGATGAATTTCCGATGCTTTTACACGTTCCACTATTCTGTTTGACAAGTAGGAATGAACTCTTAAGTAGTGTAATGTGTAAAAACAAAAATGGCAGTCTTATCCTTATAACTTGATTCTAGGTTTGAATATCTTAATTCACCATTAAATAATTATTTCGCTTTGATGAACGCGAAAAAGTCTAAAAATATAATGATATAATTATAAATCAAACGAACTTACCTTAAGTGAAGTTCGATTATAATTATATGAAATCCTTGTTTGAGTAATTATAAAGTAGTACATCGCCTTTCGATGGACTTCACCACGAACATTCAGAACAAAAAACGATCTTCTCATAACTTCTTGATGATACTGCTCATTTTTTAGAGAGATTGTAATCGCTATGTAGGGAAGGGATTAAAACTTTTCTTTTTTTTTTTTTTTTTTTTTTATAGGGTGGGTGATAATTACTCAAACAAGGATTTCATATAATTATAATCGAACTTCACTTAAGGTAAGTTCGTTTGATTTATAATTATACTACAATCCTTGTTTGAGTAATTATAAAGTAGTTGATTAGAGTATCAATGGCGATTACATTTAAATGAAAATTAAAATTTTCCATAACCAACAGGAAAAAATATAACTTTATTTCATTAAAGACAATAAATTATAAACTGTTGAACAAAGTATTTAAGACAATACTGCACGAATAAACTCATCATCATTGTTCATAATTGGCTTATTATAAAATTTCGCGAACGCTGATGATTTTTTAGTCCATCCTGCAGAGGAATGGATAACACTCAAGTTCACACCTTTGCTATAAGCTTTACTAGTTGCAGCATGTCTTGTCGAATGACCCGAAAAAATAGAAATGTCAATTCCGCTATCTCCCAATACTTTCTTAATCCAATGACTCAAAGTCTGAGACGTTACTGGAATGAACGGTTTTTTACTTGATATAAATAATTTTTTATCTTGACTAGATCTAACAACTTTAGTTTTTTCTATATAAAATATAAGCGTAGTGGCAACACAAAGACTCAAATCGTCACTAAAGAAAGGAAATTGTAGTAATGGTTGCGCTCGACCAGCGGCAGAAGTTTTAATGTGAGCCGGAATTTCGATTTCTATTTTCCCGTTCCTTTCAAAAATATTATCAAGCTCAATTGATGCTAAAGTCTGAGCTCTTTGAGCTGTTACTATAGCAAGTAACGTTACAAGTTTCTTACCCAATTGGTCCAAAGTCAGCTGTTCTAATGGGTACCAATTGGATAGAAAATTTAAAACAACACTGACATCCCACATGCGCTTATATTTTGGATTAGTTGGACGCATACGATTTACACCTCGGAAGAAAACCGATAGGAGTTCGCTTTCAGTGATGCTGTACTCTAGAATGCGCGAAATAGCTGATCTCGCAGAATTAAGAGTGCCATATTTAGCACCAGCGTTGAATTTCGCCGTTAAAAATTCAATAATTGTCGGCACAGGAGCCGAAAAATGGCAAACATTTTTATTTTTGCAAAATTCAACCAATTCTACTAGCACAGAGCTGTATTGCTTGATGGTGTTAACCGCTAATCCTTCCATTAGTAGTATAATAATATCAGAATAATCGTATACGACTCTAAGTTGATGTTTTTTGTATTCTTTAATATATTTAATGTGAAATAAAAAAAAGACTATTTCTACTAGCCTCTCGAATATTTCAATGTTTAATCTTGTTCCTAAAAATTGTAACGGCAAACGCACGTCCTTCGATTGCATAATAACTATCAAATCTCGTAGACCACCAAATCGAACTATAATGGCGGTTTCATAATATACATTTGGCCGATTCTCTGTGAAATCGAATGGCAAAAAAAAATTTTTTTCTGCAAATATGAAAAACTTGTTGTATTTTATGTCAGATTTGTCCCAAAAAAATTTTAGAAAAATTGGGGCCTTCTATGACACTTTCTCAGGGGCCCAAAGTTGACCATTTTAGCGTTTTTTTGAAATTCATGAAAAATCACAAATATTCAAATAATTCCTGGATCAGGGTAGAATGATTCAAAAGTAAAAGTGTCTAGGAACTTTTTTGTTGGAAATTGTCCAAATTTTCAGAAAAAAATATGCCAAAGTGATTGGAGCTATATAGTAAAGTGAAAAGCTCTCAAAAGTTCAAAAAAACATAAAACAAGAAATCTACTCGAGTTCGAACCAGAATTTCATTTCCTAAACTATGTAAAAAGCTTCCCAAAGATGTAAATTACTGCCTGATAAAGTTTTGTGATGGGTCTTAAAGTTTAACGCAATGTAGACGATAATGTGTGGCGAAAAACGTGCAGAAAAGGTCTGAAAATGGCTGTTTTTGGTGATTTTAGACATTTTAGGCCTATTTTTCACCTTTTTTGCACGTTTTTCGCCACACATTGTTATCTACATTGCGTTAAACTTTAAGACCCATTACAAAACTTTATCAGGCAGTAGTTGACATCTTTGGGAAGCTTTTTACATAGTTTAGGAAATGAAATTCTGGTTCGAACTCGAGTAGATTTCTTGTTTTATGTTTTTTTTTATGTTTTTCCATACATACGTCTTTAGGTGGCTCCAATCCCTTTGGAATACTTTTTTTCTGAAAATTTGGACAATTTCCAACAAAAAAGTTTCTGGGCACTTTTACTTTTGAATTATTCTACCCTGATCCAGGAATTATTTGAATATTTGTGATTTTTTCATGAATTTCAAAAAAACGCTAAAATGGCCAACTTTGGGCCTCTGAAAAAGTGTCATAGAAAGCCCCAATTTATCTAAAAATTTTTTGGGACAAATCTGACATCAAATACAAGTTTTTGATATGTGCAGAAAAAAAATTTTTTTGGCCATTCAACTTGACAGAGAATCGGCCATATATATATGGATTTAAAGAGTCCAAAATTTCCAAGGAATTAAAAAAAAACCGTGTCGATACGATAAATCTAGCCCAAGATAGAAGCATTTGAAAATCGACAAAATTTCGATGAAAATTTTTGTTGCGATAATTTTGTTGCCGAGTATAGTTAAATTGATAACAATAACGTAAATTTTGTAACTGCTTTACGAAATTTTTTCATGCAAAAATTTATTTTTCTACAGACTATTTTTTTTTTTAGTTTTTTCATCAACAAAATACTTGACAATTTTAAATTATTATTTTTTTTAGATAAGTGTTAAGGGCTTATATATACCTTAAATTCAAAAATTTTTTTATTCAATTTTTGAATAGGATTTTTTCTCCCCTTTCCGTATACTTTACGCGTTAAAATTTTTCTTTTTTTGCGTTTTCTGGTGAGTAGTGTTTTTGGTCACCTCACGTAACTTTCAGAGGGTACCGATTGAGTTTTCGCACCAGCGTCGCGTACACTTCTTCAGAACATCAATGCTTACGGCTACTACTACGGGTGAGACGATTGAGCTCATAAATCATTCTTAAAACGTACTTTTATGACTTATATTTCGGCAAAAACGAAAAATGAAAAAAAAGTGTGCTTAACTGTTGATGCATCGCAATCTGAGTGTTCGGTCGTCTCAGCCGTAGTAGTGGCCGTGAGCATTGATGTTCTAAAGAAGTGTACGCGACCCTGGTGCAGAAAACTCAATCGGTACCCTCTGAAAGTTACGTGTGGTGACCAAAAACAGCTTTTCATAATTACTTTTCGGTTATAGTTACAAGATTCAGCAGTAAGTCTTTAAACAATAGTATAATTTTTAATAATAGTATATTTTTTAACGGGAGCACGTACAGTTTTTCAGCAAAACGAGGGATTATAGCACGAGACGAAGGTGAGTGCTGTAACGAGTTTTGTTAAAAAACCATATCTGCTCTAGTGAATGATATTTTTCTTTTTTTTTACCAGAGCATAAAATTAGCGGCAAAGTTGCGTATTTTATATTAGAGTGGGAAAAAAATTTTTTTTGAAAAAGCTTTTTTCATAATTTTTGTTTTTTTTTATACTTTGCCGGCTAGGTGCTTCCGTACCTGTTGAATAAAGCAGTTCCGTTTTGGATAACTGGATTATGTATATTTTTCTTAATATATTCAATATCATCAAACTATTCGCTCAGCATTTGCAACGAATTTGCCACCAGTTATAATGTATGATCCTCGATAAGAAAAAAATACTAAAATTATCGAATTCACAAAACAGTAATATAGTTGGTGTGACGTTTACGTAAGAAAATTAAAAACAATTTAGATCTTTTATCTAAGTGTAGAGGAAAATATAATGAACTTTTTAAAGAGTTACGAATTTCTGCAAGGGACTTGTTTTTTTATTGATGTAAGTGAAATTGTTATTTTAACAAATAATTTTATTTCGTGGAAAATTATATACTCATACAAAGATTGAAAGCATATAGTAGTAACACTTTGAAAAATCTATAGATTAATATTGTGGATATGGCCGTCCAATGAAATTCAATTATATTTCTTCTGTTAGGTCGTAGTCCACCTAAAATTTAAACGATTGTAATAATTAAAATGAAAATTCTCGGAAAGTAAAATAAGCTTTAATTTTGTATAATATTATATGTAGCTATAACTTACCGGATTGACATCATCATTTCAATCAATTATCTATCTTATATTCATATATTTGGCCAGAAAATTGAAATGAGCACGTTAATTGGAATTAAATTCTCACGAATAATTACCAATTTGTTATAAATGTATTTGTAGTTATAAGTTATACCTATTTTGGATAATTATTTTGCCGAATTTTATATATTCTCTCCAGTTCTTCTGGTGAAAAGAGCGGTCTTAATGAAAGAACTAACTGGAATCAGATTAAAGTTACATTATTATTAGATTTGAAACTCTAAAGAAATAATATAAGTTTAAAATGTGGGATATAATTATGTTTACCTCTTCGTCACCCGAATCAGACCCTCCTGGTCTATTCTGAATTTTAGAATCTTCAAAGTCATCCCGGAATACGATATCTTGAGCCTGACAATAACAGAATACCGCAAAGAAAAGTGTTAAAACAGCGAACTTCATATTGAACTTTTGTTAGCTTGTTCTCTATAACTAAGCACCGAATTAAAGAGCTCGAAGTTGCTTTCGATCAAACTAGTTTATGAATTGCCAATTTTTTAATGCAATGCGGTTTATATAGGTGCCGATGAATATAGGAATACAATGAATATTTGTAAAATAAAGCTTGAATTAATTTCACTTCATTTAACTCATTTCAGTCTTTGAATAGAAAATTCGGTGGAAACAAATGAATGATTGAACGTTTTTTTTATTTATTATCGTATTTTGTTTACCAGCTGTACGAAAAAACATGAATTGTTACTTATGGCAAATTTCATTAATAAAAATGTATTCACCATTTTCCTCATAACTCTAACGATATTGTATTGCTGCATCGTTAAATGAACTAAACGTAACTTGATTTTAAAAATATTGACAACATCATGTTGTTGTTTTTTTATGTATGTATTGTGCGTTTTTCAAAATAAGCTTTTAACAATGCGCTCATGTCACTGTTATATTCAACTCAATTACCGTATTGTTTGCATCAAGGTCTAATAACGCACAGATCATTTAACAGTTCGCAATTCCACTCGTAAATTTCGCTCACATGTGCTCACCAGTTAGACATTTAAAACTCGACCTTACAATAGAGTTTTACTTTCGTGAATTTATACGAATTCAACTACGATGATTATCGTTCATTTTTTACTATTAACAACTCGGGACATTATAATGAGAAAGTTGAATAAAACGTGTTGTGAGTTTAGTTTAAAGGATAATTTTTAATTTCATAATTGGATGATTCAGCTGCTGCTTGTGCCTAAATTTTAGATGTTCAAAACAACTAAAATAATTATAATGGGAAATGTTAAGTCTTTTACGGTGTTCAGCTTGTTGCCGACCATCTGTTTCGCCACAAATGCTGTCAATGGCTTTTTTTCTTGATCTTCATAGAAGTATCTGTAAAATTTTATGGCAAAGTGTTATTTTAGTTGATCATTGGAAAAACCACTCTCACAAATACAAGATATAGTGGTTTTGTAAAATACTTTTTCTCGTTTCGATTGAGACGCGATAAGAGCGAAAAGTTGAAAATTGTATTCTGTCTACGTTCATGAATTGTAGCGTTTTATTCGAAACAAAACTGTTTGATGCTATAATCGAAAAATCTTGGTAAATATTGGACGGATTACTCATTTTCTCATGGTAACGGACTCGCGGTTCAATTGCAAGCCCATTCTCTGGGATCAGAGCAAGCCCGACTTAATAATAAGCTTTACATAATGCATCCGCACCGCATGTGCATTATGCAGCCCAGTCTACAGAATCGAAAAAATGTAAGCATCCCTGATCAAATTTTCAAAACAAGGTTGATACTTGATCGAATGACTAGAAGGTTCTTCTGTGACTGACACTCCATAAATCACGAATAATACAACTGCTACTTGGTAAAAAGTTGTATTTTGGTCTACGAAAGAGCATACTTTAGTTATGGCCAATTTCAATTTTTAGAACAAATTTATGTTCAATAATTTTTTTTCTTCTTCGTCTTTTGTAATTTTGTTGTTAGTGCGAACAGAAATTCGCGGAAAAAGTCCGAGGTATGAAAGGCTGCGTAAACAAATGCTAGGAACACTCGTAGTACGCAGTCACGGTCAACATCGACAACATGCAGCTCAAAGCTTCGAAGACTTTATAATAATCAATGGCTACCTTTATGACCAACGTGAAGAGTACGTATCTCCGAAACTTGACCTTTTCTGGTTTGGTTTGCGAAAATTTAGTCATACACCATCTACATAGTAACGTATGAACTACTACCTGACAAGAGAGTTAAATCCCTTCAGTTCGATACATTAACGTTTGGTATTGTTCAAGCATTTTTGCGTTTCGTTTGATGCAAGATTTGTCTTTTGTTTAACCGTTCATAATCGAGTTGAAAACTTAGTAATTGAGCGTGACACTGGTTATATTATTTATATTTTTCGAAGTAGGTAGGGGTATCACAATGAATTTGCGCGTGTTTAAAAGTCACGTACCACTGTCCTGTCTTTTCAGTAGGAACAATTTATTCGTAGTTACAATGTCGATCGTGAAATTGAGCGATTCTCAGGTAACAGAAATCGCCAAAGAGCGGTTTATTCACCATAGTCGTCATTATGAAAACATAACGAATACCAGGTGAGGAGTATGTATCTCCGAAACTTGATCTTTTCTGGTTTGGTTTGCGAAAATTTAGTCATACACCATCTACATAGTAACGTATGAACTACTACCTGACAAGAGAGTTAAATCGCTTCAGCTCGATACATTAACGTTTGGTATTGTTCGAGCATTTTTGCTTTTCGTTTGATGCAAGATTTGTAATTAAAAATCATGAAATAAGAGTCGTCTTCAAGTCTTTAATTAAATATTCACATGCTGGTCAGATGAAATTAAGTAAATTTACTGTATGTGTAATATTAGTTTATTTCATTTTTTTCAGTATTGATACCAAATCTTTCACATATAAGACATTGAATTTGTCCGAGTAACTTCGGTAATTAAGGCACCTGACGGAAATAATATCTGTCCGGATCGACTTCACTTGCTCCGATGATTCGGAGTCTATCTATACGTTTATGAGAACTTTTAATGTCTACCGTGAAGTAAGGTCCGGACAGATATTGTGTCCGTCGAGTGTATGCCTATATACCGCGCTAAAACTTGAACGAGAGAGAGGATGTTACGCATGGATTTTTAAAATAAAAATTTTTTGGTGGTTAGAAACAAATTTTTTTTCTGGCTATTTTCAATGAATCTTTTTTTAACTTAATTATATTATAACCAGTCGAGTTATGTTTTCGTAGTTTTTCTTCCGTATCATTAGAACATTTTCAATATATGATACAACAATGACATAAAAAAAAAATTTATTTCATTTTCTAGTTTTCAGATTCTTACTGGTTGCTGATTTTTCAATCTATCGTGGAATATTTTAGCATATATCCGTACACGTATTTTAATTATTATTAATTTTATACTCACAGAAAATGGCTTTTGATTTTTTTTAATCTAACCACCATTTTTCATAATCCGATGAGCACATGGTGAATGAACTCTAGAGAAATCTGATGGCCATCTATAGACATCTAACTTAATATTTTAGATTTACTTTTTATCCATATATTTAGATTTACATTTTAGACTTATATTTTTTAGATATTCTTTTTCATTGGATATGATAATATTCTCCTTTTTCACGAACTCTACTTTGCACGAAATTTCGTTTCATTTTCAAGTCAAGCGATAGTACATGTAAGCTTTGAATATGCAATAAGAAGAAAAAAAGCATACATTTTTAATCTTGATCCCAACGCTAGACTTTTCTTACGAAAATCGTTGTCGTTGCCAGCCCCTGACAATCGAATATACACACTCGAGCGATGTGTCTCTGGTTGCCAGACTTTCAGGCTGACTATCTCAATCCACGAGTGAAGTCGAATCTTCGTTTAACGAAATTGACTAAGGAAGAGATGCGGCGTTTAGCATCGATGCCGAAATCAATTCAAATTTTCGAACGACGACGTTCCACGCGGCGTTCCAAACAAACGAGCCGTAACAATAACAATGACGACAAGGCTAAACGCTTAACGCCGTCGCGCGTATAAATCCAACCTAAACTTTCGGCCCTACCTTCCCAACGAACAACCTCGTTTCCAAATTTCCCGTCGATCCATCCGTTTTTTTCTCTTTCAAAGCCGACAAAACTAATAAATAAATAAGTAATCAATGAACAAAGTGAGCGCGGCAAATCAAAATTGTTTGTAAATGCTTCAGTGATACGCGAGCGACAAACCTCTTCTCCCACCCCCAAAAAACCATGAAATTTTCAAGTTAAGTACGTGATCCAAAAAAAATTAAAAAAAGCTCAAAAAAACACAAATAAGAAGTCATCCTACGTCGTCGTCGAAAATGAAAACTCAATATAGAGCCCCTGTGGATCCGTGAGGGATGGATCTAAAGGGCTGAAAATTTCAATAGATTTTCTTTTTTATATTTACTCCTGAAGAACTGATTTATACCAATCAGTATAATGGCTTTTGTATCAAGCGTACGCTACGAGTGTTGTATATGAGCGGGAGAAAAGCCCACCTCGTTGAAAATTTAAAAGTCAAAACATCTCGTTGTCGAAATCGTGCTCCATCGATCCTACACTACCATTCCCTATTATTATTATTATTATTATTCCTCTTTCACTCTCTCTCTTTCTCTGTCACCCTTTTTTCCGCTGAAAACATATCTCACGTTTATATCTATCTATATTAAGAAATATACATACGACGCAGCAGCATACATACAGTTACAAGCCATCCGTCACACGTATCGTACACGTACTCGAGCACCACACAAAACCCGTTGTCTCTCTCTCTCTCTCTCTCTCTCTAACACTTTTTTACTCACGGGCGCGCGCGATGATCATTTTTTTTTTTTTTGGTAAATATAAACGTTCGATGCCCCCGCGCAAACTTATATTTCGTGGCAGTCCCCCTCGAATTCGGCGTCGATAGCGGCGTCGTAGAATATAGAAATATACATTTTAAAAAAAACGTAATATCGTATAATTAGTACCTCCAGTACTGTACGTGCGGCTATACGCGTATACCGGTGCACACGCACGAGCAATTTTCGATACATCATCGCGCGCGTACGCATCGAAGAAAATAGAATTTGTGCGCGTACTCGTGTAGACAGTATTATAAGTGTTTGTGCGAAGTTTATCAGTGATTAGAAAAATTCAAAAATCAAAACAAATGGTTGACATCACGGCTGACAAGGCGATCACAACCGCCAAGCTCAGGTTGAAACAGATGCCAGCAGCGGCGCAGGCAGCGGCGCAAGCAGCAGAAGCATCGGCATCGGCAGCAACAACGGCGGAAGCAGCAGCAGCAGAACCGGCTGCTGCCTCCGCGATCGATGCTCAACCGGAACAGCACATGGTTGTAAAAGTTTAAATCAATTTTTAATTCAGTTCAATCCACGAATAAATTTTGATATTTGCTTTAAAACTATTTGAATTCCCGAATGGAATTG